GACTGTTTAATATTAATAATCACGATAACAAAGATGCGATTTCCCGCAAGCACCGAGTCATATTCCAGTTCTTCCACAAAATAGGGATTTTTGCTGCCCATTAAACAATAAGACAGGCAATTACATTTGGTTCAGCCTGGCTTGGCTGGTAACCCTCTCGCCTCCATGTCAGAAGGCTCAAAAGACCCCATGCAGATAGCGAGAACTGTATTATGTGTGGTTCAGTTTTTCAGAAGAGACGTTAAAATCCAGGTCCTGTCTCCTTGTACATCACCAGAGATAATTACACGTGGTAGGTTGAAATTCATACTAAAATATCTCCAATACTCACCATTACCATTACATGAAGATTAAGCACGTAGTAAGGATAATCAACGACAGGGACAGGTTGTCAGGAAAGATAAGAGGCCAGGACACTTTAGGCAATGTAACGTTAGATATAAATCATACTGTATATACAATATGGCTGTTTCCTACAAATAAAAACTTAAATTACCGTGAATATCCAGGATTTATTGCCTAGCACCTTTATCAAGGAATACCACATCCCTGAATACCCTAAATAACAGTGTAAGTGCTCACCAACAGGCTTCAACAGCTCTGAACGTGTGATTTCAAGAGACGTGCATTCAGCTGACTGCCCGGCCCTTGTTACAGTTGCAGAAAAAAACAGAACACCTACAAGGAGAGGGTTCTCTGTGGAATGAAGGTAAAGGAAGTTCTTGTGAATCTCCATCCTCGAGTCTCTCCACCTCGTCCCCTCCTTGCCTCCTTCAAGAATCGTCTCAAGACCCTTCTCTTCGACCATGGCTTCGGTCACACCCACACCCACATGTGGATGGACAAACGCACAAACACAAACAGATAAAATGTGCACACGGGGACGCAGACAGACACACGGAAAAGCACACTCCACGCTGTCATCCTCAGAGGATTATTCTGAAGGCTTCTCCTGAAATCTCTTTAGGCAATTGGATTTGAATACATCTGCCACTGACGTATAAGATTACACCGAAGACCAAAGCAGAACAGTAGCTTTACTCATTCAAGTCACGTAAGCACGCTGCATCAATTCCCTTGGGCTGGACAACCTGAGACAGTTTCCTTTTAAGTGCTGGTTGTTGCTTGTTTGCACGTCCACAAAAAGTGCTTTTGAGGCTCCTTTGCAGCGACCCTCATGCACGCAGCCCGTGTTTCCTCTCCTGCACCAGCTCCACGACCCTATCACCCCCATCTTCGCCCGACTCCACTAGCTCCCCATCACTCAGAGGATACTGTTCAAGATACTGGTCCTCACCGTCAAAGCCCTTGGCTTTACTCCTCCCTACCTCTATGACCCACTATCCACCAGCTCCCTCAGCTCAAGGGGCTCCGGCCTACGTCCCCCGCCTTGCCTGCCCACCATCGGCCGTCGGGCCTTCAGCCTCATTGCCCCCACCCTTTGGAACTCATCCCACAGTCTCTTCACCTCCCCCCTCCCTTGCCTCCTTCAAGACCAGTCCGAAGACCCTACTCTTTGACCGTCCTTTCGGTCACCCTACTTCCGCCCTTGCTCTCCACCCTCCCTGATCCCGGCCCCCAGCACAGGATCCCTGACTGTCCAGCGCTTTGGGATGTCCTCCTGAAGTGAAAGGCGCTATACAAATGTAATTTATTGTTGTTTTGGATGTAGACCTGGACTGAACTGCAAACCAGACCCTAAATTGAAGTCTGGCTCGCTGGTTTGGAGGATCGCCATGCACAATTGGTTGCCGACAAAAAATACACAGTCAATTCACTTTACCATATATTATTTACATTATACACTATAAAATATACACTTCACAATATATTCTGTGAAGTGCTTTGAGACGTCTCAACAACGTAATAAGGCGCTACATCAAATGCAAGGATTACTATCACAAGGCAAAATACTGCAAAATACAGGAAATCTCAAATAAAAACAAAAGTCGCTGGGAACACTCAGCAGGTCAGGCAGCAGCTATGGAAAGAGGAAAGTTAGTTAATTCACTTTCCTCTCTCCATAGATGCTACCTGACTTGCTGAGTGTTTCCAGCGACCTTTGTTTTTATTGCAAGGATTATTATTATTGACCCAGGGACAGATAATCGATGACTCCTATAATCTTGCACATCTTCCCTCCCTCTGAGCATACATTTTAGACCCTGAGAAAAATGGAGGGAAGATTACAAATGATAAAAATTATAATAATCCTTACATTTGACCTCGCGCTTTTCACGTCTTCTAGACGTCTCAAAGCGCTTCACAGATTAATAATAATAATAATCCTTGCATTTGACATAGCGCTTTTCAAGTCTTCTAGACGCCACAAAGCGCTTCACAGAATATACTGTGAAGTGAATTGACTGTATATTTGTGGACGAAATGCGGCAGCCAATTGCGCACAGCAGTGTCCCACAAACAGATGGATTGAAATGACCAATTTATTATTGTTTTTTGAGGGTTTATTATCAGGTGTGTGGAGTAAGGAAACTTGCCCAAGGTTTTACCCTGTCGGGAATCGAACCCAGGTCTCTCGCTTGCAAAGCGAGTGCTCTAACCACTGAGGTACAGGACTCCACAATAATCCACTGATATTAACAGTGAGAACCTCTATATAGCCTGATATTGACAGTGAAAACCTCTATATAGCCTGATATTGACAGTGAAAACCTATATATAGTCTGGTATTAACAGTGAGAACCTCTATATAGTCTGATATTAACAGTGAGAACCTCTATATAGCCTGATATTAACAGTGAAAACCTATATATAGTCTGGTATTAACAGTGAGAACCTCTATATAGTCTGATATTAACAGTGGGAACCTCTATATAGTCTGATATTGACAGTGAAAACCTCTATATAGTCTGATATTGACAGTGACACCTCTATACAGTCTGATATTGACAGTGACAACCTCTATACAGTCTGATATTGACAGTGAAAACCTATATATAGTCTGGTATTAACAGTAACACCTCTATATAGTCTGATATTAACAGTGAGAACCTCTATATAGTCTGATGTTAACAGTGAGAAACCTCTATATAGTCTGATATTACCAGTGAGAACCTCTATATAGTCTGATAGTAACAGTGAGAACCTCTATATAGACTGATATTAACAGTGAGAACCTCTATATAGACTGATATTAACAGTGAGAACCTCTATATAGTCTGATATTAACAGTGAGAACCTCTATATAGATTGATATTAACAGTGAGAACCTCTATATAGTCTGATATTAACAGTGAGAACCTCTGTATAGTCTGATATTAACAGTGAGAATCTCTATATAGTCTGATATTAACAGTGAGAACCTCTATATAGTCTGATATTAACAGTGAGAACCTCTATATAGTCTGATATTAACAGTGAGAACCTCTATATAGTCTGATATTAACAGTGAGAACCTCTATATAGTCTGATATTAACAGTGAGAACCTCTATATAATCTGATATTAACATTAACATGATATTAACTTAAAGTTCAGGATGTGTTTACTCCTCTTCCCAGTAGGTTGCCGAATCAGCCTTGATGGGGTGGGGGTGGGAGGTTTGGAAGATATGGCTGCAATCACAACCAAATATATCCAGATTAACTTGGTCACTCACCCTCCACTCCCGGAGCTTGCAGGTTCAAGCCCCCCACGTCAGGACTTTGAACTCAACACAGTATATTCTATGAAGTGCTTTGTGACGTCTCAATGACGTGATAAGGTGCTCTACCAAATACAAGGATTATTAATTCACAATTCTAGTTGGAAACTTTTCTTATCCCTCCAGTTAGAGGCTGAATTTCACATGTAAAAGCCATAGGAAACAAATGAGAGTCTATAAAGATAGTCCTGCTGTCCTGGCCAACAATCCCACAGTCCAAAATGATCGTTCACCATATGGCTATTTGTAGTACTTCGCTGTGCACTTAATGGCTGTTATGTTTGCCTGGAAGCATCACTGACTGCATTGAGAAGGCATTAACTGCAAAGTGCTCTGAAATGATTCAGTATAATGTATTAAAACACAATAAAATACAAGATCTTTCTTTTGAAAAACAGAATTTTTTTTTAAAAAATCCTTGCATTTGATACAGTGCATTATCACACCTCCAAGACATCTCAAAGCACTTCACAGAATATACTTCACAGAATATACTGTAAAAGTGAATTGACTGTATATTTGTGGGCAAAACACGGCAGCCAATTGCACACAGCAGTGTCCCACAGTGGATAGAGTGACCAAATTATTATTTTTTTTAGGGGATTATTACCCCTCGGAAAAGCGACCCGACAATCGACTAACAAATGGGTTACTACTTACTGCTCGGTAAACATGTGGAGTAAGGAAACTTGCCTAAGGTTTCGCCCTGCCCAGAAATCGAACTCAGATCTTCTCACTTGGGAGACGAGTGCTCTAACCATTAAACTACGCACAGATGTCCCTGTGACCTGTCTGCATTCAGTCCTGGTGTGTTGATCAAAGAGTGGGTCAATAAAATAGATTTTTCCTTTAAAGTTAATTTTCTGGCACACAGCAGGAATGGTGAGACCTGGGCCTGAAAAAAAAATTCACTGGAGTTTTAGCAGATTTCAATGATAGGGACTGGAGTAGGCCATTCAGCCCAGAGCCTGTTCCACAGGTTTATTAAGAAAACTAAAATTCTATTAACACTTCTTTTCTTCATACCTCTTTATTTTAATTGATTGGCAGATCCCATTCGGGGTAATATAAAAATTGTTCACTCAATCCACAACAGTTTGTGGGACGCTGCTGTGCTTAATTGGCAGCTACCCACAAAAGTGCGCAATCGGCTGCCGCATTTCTCCCACAAATATACAGTCAATTCACTTTACAGTCTATTCTGTGAAGCGCTTTGAGACATCTAGAAGGCGTGAAAAGCGCTATATCAAATGCAAGGATTATTATTAAATACACAGTCAATTCGCTTTACAGTATATTCTCTAAAGCGCTTTGAGACATCTCAGTTGACGTGATAAAGTGCTATATCAAATACAAGATTATTGTATTACTATTATTATTAATACCCGACTTCCCAAGAATCTCCCTGTTAAACTTCCTAATTGATTCCTTCTGGGGTTTTGATTTTAAGGCTGCGAAATAGAGAAAACGTGAAATAGAATCATACGCCGAGCCGGTATTTACACTCCACCCCCTTCCCATTCCCTTCACCTTCGTGCGTGCATGAAGTTTTCTCTTGAACGTGTTGCTTTTTGCTTCGACCACAGCTGCCGGCACAGTACAGTGAAGGAGTTCCCCCATTTGATCTACGCTGGCTTGCTCATATTTAAGCTCCCGTTATGGAGTCACATAGTGTGAAAGTTTCAGCTCTTCATCTTGGTGAAGCGAGGCGCAGGAGGAGACCCCACCTCAGCCATTTTGCCCCAGGAGCTCTTTAATATTTGCCAATCCCACTTTCCGCGCTCAACGCAAAACAAGCATACTTATTTGGGAGAGAGCGTGGAGGCCTGGAGCATCCGTGCTGGGAGCGCCACAGGCATCCTTTCCAATCTGGCCGCCCTGGGGTCGGAGTCCTGGAGGGGAAGCTCAGCCCCTGAGTCCGCGTGACTTGTGCCTTCTGACTTCTTTGAGGCCTTCAGGAGCTCCTGCAAACTGAGCTTGAAAACCAGGCGGGGATCGATGGAGGGCAGAGCCGGGCAGCCGCACACCTCTCTCAGCTTCACAGCCTGCCACCACAACAACAACAACAACAAGATTCCATTTATAAAGCGCCTTTCACGTCAGGAGGACGTCCCAAGGCGCTGCACAGTTGGGTCATGACCTGAGCAGGGGGGAAATGGTCAGGGTGAGGGGAGGGAAGGGAGGGAGCGAGGAGGGGGGAAATGGTCAGGGTGAGGATGGGAGGGAGGGGAGGGAGCGAGAAGGGGGAAGAGAGTCGAGAGGGGAGCTGAAGGCTCGGTCAAAGAGAAAGGTTTTGAGACCGGCCTTGAAGGAGGAGAGGGAGGAAGCGGCGAAGGCACTGGGGGATGGAGTTCCAGAGCCTCGGGGCTGAGAGGCTGAAGGCCCGACCACCAATGGTAGGGCGATTGGGGCGGGGGACGTGGAGCAGACCGGAACGGAGGGTACGGGCAGGTAGGTAGGGGGATAGTAGGTTGGAGAGGTAGGAGGGAGCAAGGCCGTGAATGGCCTTACATTCGAATAGCGCCTTTCACGGCAGGAGGGCGTCCCAAGGTCGGTTACACTCCAGCGTAGGAATATAATAAGTGTTAATAATAATCCTTGCATTTGATCCTTGCGCCTTCTCACACCATTGAGACGTCTCAAAGCGCTTTACATAATATACTTAAAAAGTGAATTGACTGTATATTTTGTGCGTGAAACGCAGCAGCCAATTATGCACAGCAGCGTCCCACAAACAGTTGTGGGTTGAGTGACCACATCATTATTAAACAAAAAAACTTTTCGAAGGGATTATTACCCCCGGAAAGTGATCGGCCATACGACTAACAACTAGATTCCTACTTACTGCTAGGTAAACAGAGGCGTGCGGAGTAAGCAAATTTGCCGAAGATTATGTCCTGCCTGGGAATCGAAGCCGGGTCCTCCTGCTTGCGAGGTGAGCGCTTTAACCAATACGTTACAGGATTCCAGGAAAGCACGAGACTCCATGGAAGGCTAACACAGTAAAGCCGTGGGGGTCACGTAATTTCTACTTTCGCTCTAGGTGATGGAACTCTTACTTAATTACACAGAGAATTGCATTTACTATTAGGAGCATTGGAAAATAGGCACAGGGGGAGGCCATTCAGTCCATTCAGCATGTTCCACGATTGCGGTTTTAGGATTTGATTGATTTTCTGTTTACTTTGAATAAAGTGAGGAAATGTCAATGGGTCCTTGCGTAACTTCAAACGCACTGAAGTTTTTAACATGGATTTGTTTGACTTACAGAGGGAGTGTAATGTCCCACTTGTGTGTGCTATGTTTTACCACGTTCAACTTTGCAGGTGTCTTGTCCCACATTTAACGCTGGCTTCAAACAGCTTCAATTTGCCTCGATTGCACCTGGTGCCGTCTAACCTTTCACCGTATTTTAAGAATTCACATGTAGCTCATCTGCGCCCAACTCGGACCAAGTAAATATTTTTTTGTTGACCAGGTGATTATCCAGTTCACTTTAGATACGATTCCACTGATCAATCCGGCCTCGATAGCTGCTTGCAATGAATTCCTAATCTTAATAAAGTCTCGGAATTAGCTGCTAACTTCCCGCATGTTGTCGCTTAAGCAAGGATTATTATTGTTAATTGGCAACTAAAGCAAGCAGTCTTTTGGTCCCTATTAATGCCTTTAACAACAAGAACAAATTACAATTACACAACGCCTTTCACGTCAGGACGTCCCAAGGCTCTGGACACTCAGGGATCAGCACCTGAGCTGGTGGTTGGGATCAGGAGGGGTGGAGGGTGGGGAGGGTTGGGGTGGGTGGGTGACCAAAAGCCTGGTCGAAGAGAAGAGTCTTGAGACGGTTCTTGAAGGACGCGAGGAGAGGGCGAGACTGAGGGACTGTGGGATGGAACTCCACAAGAACTTCCTTTACCTGAGGAATTAGCTGATTCAGATGTTCAACCCGACTCTCGTTTGAGGGATGTGTGGAGAACCACTCAGGGGTCCTTGATGTGCCCGACACAATCTTCAGCAGTTCCAGTTGCTGCCAGTAAACGCTGCTTGTTCGCACATCAACGCATGCCTGGTTTCAGAAGAAAGCACATCTGTCAGAAGCAAACCCGGTCATAAATAAGCGCATCTGTTCGGTGACAGAACAAATCAATCCACTTCCTTCTCTCCAATAACAATGATGATAATCTTCACATTAGTTGCAGCGCCTTATTACGTCGAAACCGCTCAAAGTAATGACTATGATCTAAACTGTTAACATAGCCATATGGTAACAATTTCAATCACACTTGAATTTGACACAGCGCTGTGTTACAGCGAACATTTTGACCTCATTCTTGGTTTGACTGCAGAACAGGCCATTCGGCCCATCGAGTCTGGGTTGCTGTCTATCTCTATGCAATTCCTCTAATCTAACCGACTCTCCTCCTCCTCGCTCCCCGCACCTTTTGGTATTCTTCCTTTTCGAGCATCTCTCCGATATCTTTAAAAGAATCGAGAGTGAGGCTTTCGTTTTGTTGCAAGAGATGATTTAAAGAGTGATGGCTCGCTCCTATGTTTCAGTCCAGATTGACAGACAGATTTTTTTTGGCCAGCCGGGTGTCTGATACACGCGGAAACCCATCACCGTTGCTTAAGAGTCTCCAAACCAAGCTGAGAATTCCATGTATCCCACCGACACATGGAAATCCCAGAGATAAGATTGTTGGAATGGAATGCGCTCTCTCTCTCTCTCTCTGGAGGGACACATCCTAATTACTTAATTCTGGAACATATTAGGTGCGGGTTGGCGAGAGCCAAGGCCTGGGGGGAACCCAGAGTGTGCGTTAAATGGAATAATGTAAGGATGACTCCAGGGAATCTGCAGTTATTACAATAATAAAACCCTTATTGCTGTTGAACCAGTGACGACAAGCGCTGCATGTGAAGTTCAGAGCGAACTTACCTTTGCAGCGAGCTGCAGTCCAATCTCGTCTGCCTCTGTCTCCAACTTCCTGGAGTACGGTCTGGAAAACATGTACTGCGGGAAGCAAATGAGCTATTGTTAATGGCAAATGACATAATAATAATCCTTGCATTTGATACAGCGCCTTATCACATCTTCAAGACGTCTCAAAGCGCTTCCCAGAACATACTGTAAAGTGGATTGACTGTATTGGCGAAATGCGGCAGCCAATTCCGCACAGCAGCGTCCCACAAACAGTCGTGGATTGAGTGACCAAATAATTTTTATTCATTTTGAAGAATTATTCCCCCAGAAAAGCGATCCTCCAATCAACTAACATCGAACCAAGGTCCTCTTGCTTGTGAGGTGAGTGTCTAACCACTAAGCTACAGGATTCTGTCAACAAAAAATCTCCGCTTGCACTTACACCGCTCCTTTCAATAAAAACTAAACATTCGGAAAGCGCTTTACAACTGAACGGGAATTAAATCCAGGCAAACTAATTCAGCAGCTAATCTGACGTCAGTGACGTGTCATTCAGTGACATCAGTGATGTACACCGAGATCGACAGCTGTTTTAATTTGCGGTGGATTTGGTTGCTTTCTGGATAACTAGCAGAAAGAGTCCACGTTTCTTTGAAACAACCGACAGAGGGTGACGGATAAACAGGGAGCGACGTGTTACCTGTTAACAGTAGGAATCCTCGCTTGGATTCCTTCACATGTGGAAATCCCATTAGAAATTGCTCCCTCTTGCCTGCCTCGGTCCGTAGCACTCTTGCCTCTGTCAGAAGGTCGTGGGCCTACGCATCCCAAACTCTCTGCAAATATTTTTGCTTCCATTACCGCAAAAACCCATCCAATAAAATAATAATAATAATCTTTGCATTTGATATAGCGCCTTATATTATCAAGGCGTCTCATAGCGCTTCACAGGATATTGACTGTATAGTTTGAGGGCAAAACGCTGCGCCAGTTGTGCACAACAAAGAGCCATGGAATGAGTAACCAATTACTTATACAAGTAAACAGCATGCAAGCCTCTCAACTGGTCAGGAGACACACTGCGATGTATCAAAGCAACTGCTCTTTCCGTCTTCTTAACCTCGGAATCATAATATTAATAATTTTATTGTAATAATATCTTCTAGACGTCCCAAAGCGCTTCACAGACTATACTGTACAGGGAATTGACTGTACGCTTCAGACTATACTGTAAAGGGAATTGACTGTACGCAGCAGCCAGTCGCACACAGCAGCGTCCCACAAGCAGTCATAGATTAAGTGATCCAATTTTTTTGTAAAGAGATTATTAAGTAATATTATTATTATTAGCACTAAGTGCTAATATCTGCGATGAATGGTGAGAATGATGTACTGGAAAGACGAGATCAAACAAGAAGGATTTATCATGTGAACCTCTACTGTGATCAGTAGATGTGCTGTCGTGCGATAGGGTAAGGTGGGGGAGTGGGGAGGGGGTGAGACAGTGGCGAGCAGCAGTTTGCAAACCGGAAGACAGTTAGGAAGAAAGTGAGCAGTGACTTTGAAGTAGCCACGGGGTCGAAATGAAGGATTGATCTCCCCCTGTGAGCACATAGAACTCAAACCGTCAGCCCGCAGACGGGAGCTGTGCAGGAGTGAGGCGGAATGGTAACAGTGGCCAGTGATAGGAAGTGTCAGGTGCCAAGTGGAATCTGCAGAGCAAGTCATCAGCTAACGTTTCTTCTCTCAGGCCATGACTCGTGTTCCAGTGCAGACAGCCTGAGTCACGCAGTTTGACAGCGCCCCGCAATAGGACATTTAGCTCTTTGGCAAAAGTGTTAAAGTCAGAGGTGGGTGGAGAGGAAACAAAGAAATATTAAAGAATAATAATAATAATCCTTGCTTTTGATATACCTTGTCATGTCTTTTGAGACGTTTCAAAGCTCATCACAGAATATACTGTAAAGTGTATTGACTGTGTATTTTGTGGGTGACAGGTCTTTGAAAATTTGTCTGCAAATAATAAAAAAAATTGCTAACACAAAGTGGTGGGGGGGGGGGGGTTGCGATACTTCTTAATTAAGCAATCTGCAACACTATTTTCTGAGGGGGGGGGGAAGTTTCCCTCAAGTCAGTGTGATGTGCTTCCAGGCATTGTAAGGAGGTGGATTCGGGATTTCTTAATTAAGAAACCAAACACTGCAAAATTGACCCCGTGATGAGTGACGTTCAAACAAACATGTCACTTTCACGCTTTGTCGCTGTGGCTCAAGTGATATTCACTGCTCAACAATAACTTGGGGGGGGGTCGGGGGGGTGATGGAGTGGGGGGTGGAGGGTTGGAGGAGAAAGAAGAGAGGAGAAAGCGAAAGGCAGACACAGGCACATTCGAAGAGTTAGCTTTGTGTTTCTTTTGAGGCAGAGAAATGACAAGATAAAGGTAGAGAGAGGGAATGAGCCTATGGTAGAGGGAGAGAGTTAGGGGTCTCAAGTCTCGGCCACCGATCGTACTCCGACCAGTAGTAGTCAGTTAATGCAATCTTCATGATGGCTACACTCCTTGGACTTTGGAACTCTATCCCTCAATCCCTCTGCCTTGTCCCCTCCTTCCCCATTTTCAGATCACGCCTGATGACTTTCCTCTTTGATCGTGCTTATGGTCACCTTCCCCCGGCTTGGAGTCAGGCTCCGCCACTGTTAAGTGCTCTGAGACGCTGCTGTGTGAAGGGCGCTATATAAATGCAAGTTGTGGTTGGACATTACAGACTAAGAAATATAATAATAATCCTTGTATTTGATACAGCGCCTTATCACGTCTTCAGGACGTCTCAAAGTGCTTCACACAATAAACTGTAAAGTGCAGTGACTGTGTATTTTGTGGGAGAAAATAATCTGAAGTAATACCCAGGCGACTTGATAAGAATAATAATCCCTGCATTTGGTGTAGCACCTCTCACGACAGGAGGATGTCGTAAAGCGCTTCTCAGGATATACTGTGAAGTGGAGTGACTGTGTGTTTTGTGGGCAAACGAATGGTTGAGCGTGAGGCGCGTGAGATAAAAAAAACACTTGTTTATTTTGTTTGAAAAAACCCAAGCCCACATTTGAGGTAGATGGTATTTTGGGCGTTCGGCAGCTGATAAGATGGCAGGTTACAGCTGGTAGCAGCATTGAGAAGTCACATCTCAGAACAAACAGATCCCCTGGCATGTTGCTATGTGCCTGTTTCTCTGTGTTATACATAACAGATTCTGCCTCGGGTTATAATTGAACAACACAACTACAAATGAGCCTCAAATTTCACTCACGTGATCTTTTCACAAACCTGCGTATAACACTGAGCTTTGCATATATCTAAGCTCCCTTTTCTGGGCTCCTTCAAGCATTTGCTGTCTATCGCTGCTAGCCAACTAGAAAATGAAACAAGCATTTTTTAAAAGATTTTGCTCCATTTAACGAAATAAATTACACCATTCTTTCACGCCAGTCAGCTCACTGATTCTGTAGATTATTGATGCCAAGCCACTGTTCATTACAATTAATCGTCTTAACCTTTGAAGCCCCCTCGCTCCTCCCACCCCCGATGCAAAAAGACGCAGAGACACTCGCTCAGACACGCACAAACATGAATGCCCCCAAGATATGTACACACTCGCATATGCGCACGCACGCAGATGCAGACAAGCGTGTGCAGGCACACACACAACAGGCGCACACACACGCGCACACACATTCACAGACACATGCACTCACTCACACAACATGCACTCACACAACACGTACACACACAAAAGGGACAGGAATGTAGGTAAATGCTCACCTTCACCAGTTTCGACTGTATCCACTGCCCTAGGAGAGCGAGGCTGTCCCGAGGGAACACAGCCCAGATTAGAGTCAGTATAATGAGGGACAGGAAATCTAGCAGCTGAACAAAACTGGCATGTTCCGCCTGGAAAACAAACATCGTTAGGGTTTGTTAGCACATATGTTACTGCTTGTTAATTTCATTCAAAACATGCTACACGACTTTAGACATTATCACAATGATTCCACCACCACCACCACACTACGTAGAGAGGTATTCAAAATATTAGCCTATGTTATTCTTCAGAACACAGAGCCGTACTAGAAACTAAGATAGTCAGGACATTGGCAGAAACTCCGTTCGAATTACTTTAACATCCACAAACAATGTTTGTCTCCTCTGAAATGTGGCACTTCTGAAATAAAGCTCTCTCCGTCTTCACGTCTTTTGAGAAATCGCAAAACCCTTCACAGAATATACTGTAAAGTGAATTGAATTGACAGCAGTGTCCCACAAACAGATTGACTGACCAAGTTTTTTTTTTAATTATATTTTTTCTTTAAGGTACTATTACCCCCGGAAAATCGATCCGCCAATTGACTAACAACTGAGGTCTTATTTACTGCAAGGTAAACAGTGGCGGGTGGAGTGAGGAACCTTGTATAAGGTTTCGTCCTGACTGGGAACTGAAACCGGGTCCTCTTGCTTGCGAGGCGAACGCTCTAACCCCTAAACTACAGGACTTCACTTTACAAACCAACATAGGATTGATTCAAGGCCACTGTTCATTACTATTACCTGTCTTGCTCTGTAGCCCTGAGTCAGGCACAGGCGGGTAGGGGAAGCTGGAGAGCAGTATAGCTATACTCACCCCGTGTGCGAGGAGGCAGTGAGCCATCTCATGGGCCAGAATACACGCTAGCTGGTCAGTGTCTGCTACGGCTGAGAGCAGCCCCGTCAAAACAAACACCTGCCCGTTCTACAGCAAGGGGGAAAAAACACCTTCGTTAGATACTCAAGAGAAATGCCGCTCATCTCAGGCATTAACAGGAAGAAATTCTTGGTCTAGATTTCTAATAATAATAATCCCTGTATTTGGTATAGCGCTTTATCACTCGCCAAGACGCCAAAAGTTTACTATGAAATGAAGTGACTATGTATTTGTAGGCAAACCCAGTATACCATGCACACAATGTCCCACAAACAATAACAATTTACAGTTGTATAGCGCCTTTCATGTCTGCAGGACATCCCAAGGCACTGGAATGCCATAAAACGAGTGATCAATTTTATTTTGGGGGAGATTGTTGGCCAGGATACCAAGAGAGGACAGGATCCCTTCTCTTTTCGAATACCACCATGGGATCTTTAACGTCCCCCTGAACAGGCAGATAGGACCTCTGTTTAACATCCCATCCAAAGAACAGATAAATCCTTGCATTTGATGTAGCACCTTATCAGGCGGTTAAAATACCTCAAAGCGCTTCACGGGATTTTAGCTGTAAAGCGTAGTGACTATGTATTCGAATTCGCCTAACTATTTATGTAGCTCTTTAGAATTACTTGTGAATCGAAGTTTTCTGCAAGTTTCTCTTAAGAAAATACAGGNAAAAAAACTGCTTCAAAATTAAGACTGAAGTCAATAATTTGGCAAATTCTGGATGCTCTGAAAACAAACCCTCTACAGTAAGAAGTTGGGGGTACAACAATAACATAGAAGATTTCCGGGGGTTTGGGGGGTTAATAAACTGCTTAAACATCTCTCTGACACAAACGAAACCTCATCTGTGTCACTGCCTTGCAACACAATGTAAATGTATGCACTCTCTCCTTCTCCCTGTACGAGGTAGAATAAACCACTTAGTGAGGTCAGAGGATAACGGCTGGTAAATACTATTCCCCTGCCATCCACACACACGCAGCAAAATAGCAGAAAAATACTTTATTTGTTTGACATCAATATGGTTGTGGGTTTGAGTCCCAGTGGGGGAGCGAAGACTGTAAGCAATATCTCTAATGAATTCTGTCAGTTCTGAGCAAGGCTGCTGTGTGGAATGCGGAAGCTTACCATGGGGAAAATCTCCGGCCACTCCACAGTAAATTAGAGCTTTACCGTTCAAATGGAGGGCAATCGAGTGGGAAAATGGCAACGGCAGCCAATTGAATCCCATTATTTACCTGCCAGTGGATGGAGAGGACTGTGAGATTTCAGGGGCTGAGAGGAAAGTGCTCCCAACTGGAAAAGTACAAACACAGCTCTTCACTGGGTACCCAAAACCAGCCTTTCTTTTTTTTAAACTCACATTGAATCGATTAAAACAATCCTCGTGACTGACCGAGCACCTGTATATCAAAACCTCTCAAAGCATCTCATAGACAACTATGGTGTCTGTGTATTTTGTATGTGGATTGAGCCCCGAGCCATCAAGGAAATCCCGATCTTGGCAAACACACTCTCCTCTCCCCACCCCTGTGTACTGGAGCACCTTTCGTTTGCATATAGAATCACGGATAGTAACGATACAGAAGGAGGTCTTTCGGCCCATCTGTGCTGGGAGAGGACCCGGGTTCGATTCCCGGGCAGGTCGAAACTTAGGCAAGTTTTCTTACTCCACACACCTCTGTTTACCCGGCAGTAAGTTCCTTTAAGTAGGTTCCTACCCGGTTGTAGTCGATTGGCTGATCGCCAATCGCTGATCGCTTTCCGGGGGTAATTATCGCTTCAAAAAAAAATGTGGTCACTCAATCCACAACTGTTTGTGGGACACTGATGCATGCAATTGGCTGACATGTTTCGCCCACAAAATATACAGTTAATTCACTTTACAGTATTTTCTTTGAAGCGCTTTAAAACGTCTCAACGACGTGATTAGGCGCTATATTAAATGCCAGGATTATTATTATTAGTCACTATACTTCAAAGTAAATCTTGTGAAGCGATTTGAGACATCCGTCTGACGTGAAAGGCGCTATATCAAATGCAAGGATTATCATTACGTATTGGTAACTTGACTTATTTTCATCCCACTCCTGTCTAAAATGACTGCAATTAAGGCTCCCATCCAAACCCAGCCCAAGGCTGAAATGTTTTCTTGTTATATTATGTGATGTGGAAGAATGTGCTGAGACAGTGACAGGGTAGTGGCTTAATCGAGGGATCCAGCTCCAGATACTTAAATTACGATCAAATTACCTGCCGTGCTGTTCAACTCTCAGCTCCGTTTTAATCACAACCTGCAAGTGGCTTTTATCATTAAGTCTTAGCAGCACTCTGTCTGCATAAACTCACCCATGTCCCGATTAACAGTGAAAGGAAAGCTGATTAAACTGAACACACATTAATGACTGCTAGAAAACTCCAGGCATTGTGCTGATTGAATACTCAGACTAGATTTTATGATGCATTGATTGCTGTTGGGTGACACTCAAGAAGGGATATTGATGGAGGGCGAGGGGGAGGAGATGGAAAATGGTTTGCAATTCTAAACCAAAAAGAGAGTCAAGAGCCCAACGTATGTTCTTGAAACACAACCCAGATACTGGGTTGAAAAAAAGCTACATCCTCAAAGCTTCAAGCTGATCAATATTATAGGGTTCCTGGGGAAGCTAAGCAGGCAGAAAGTATTTCCGCTGGATGGTGAGCTGATAACGAGAGGGGGCATTGATTTAAGATCATCGGCAATAAAATAAAAAAGCAAAGGGGGAGATTCAACATTTGTTTTTTACACATGTACAACACACACACACAACGAGCCGGGAGGAGGAGATGTAAAGTGAATTGACTATTTATTTTGTGGATGAAATGCAGCAACCAATTGCAAACAGCAGTGTCCTACAAACAGTCGTGATTGAGTAATGCAAGTTTCCTTACTCCACACACCTCTGTTAACCTCCCAGTTAGGAGGAACCCGGTTGTTAGTCGAATGGTGGTTCGCTTTCTGGGGGTAATAATCCCTTCAAAAAATAAATTTGGTCACACAATCCACAACTGTTTGTGGGACACTGCTGTGCGCAATTGACCGCCGTGTTTTGCCCACAAAATATGCAGTCAATTTCTCTTCAGTATATTCTGTGAAGCGCTTTAAGATGTCTCAATGATGTGATAAAGCACTACATCAAATGCAAGGATTATTATTATTATTTATTGTTACTTACCGGCAGTATAAAGGCATTTATCTCAGCATCTTGAACCACATTAATATTCCACTTAATCCTGGACATTCCTGGGACATCTTTGTTCTTTTCAACCAGATGATTAAAAACAAACTGAACTGTGTGATAGGCTTGGTCAGTTTCAGGCACCAAAGTCCCCTCATAGGTTTTCAGCATCTAAAGTAAAGGCAAGGAAAAAGTCAAACAAAAGGTAGTTTCAACTATATAAGGATGTAAATAAATACTGCATTGAAAGCCATTTAACAAGCTATAGGCTGTCACTATTTTATACATAACTATTTTTAGTCTATTCTGTGAAGCGCTTTGAGACGTCGAGAAGATGTGAAAAGCGCTATATCAAATGCAGGGATTATTATTATATTATTATAATATCTATGATTCACATACATCTTTGGCATTTGATACAGCGCCTTTTACGCAAGGAGAAAGTCTCGAAGTGCTTCACAGAATTTACTGTATAGCGAAGTGACTGTACGTTTCATGGACAAACCTGGCAGCCAATTTGCACACAGCGGGCATCCCAAAACACAGCGGTGAACCGAATGACAATTTTAGCTGAGAGATTGTTGGCCGGAGATGCACTCTATCACCACATTCACGTCACACGGGATCTGTCACCACACACACGTCAGATGTGACCTCTAACTCCATACATGCCTCAAGCAATCTGTAATCACATACGTCACATGTGATCTGTCACCACATACATGTCAGATGTGATCTCTAACCACATACAGGCCTCACGCAATCTGTAATAACATACGTCACATGTGATCTGTCACCACATACACGTCAGATGTGACCTCTAACCACATATATGTCACACGTAATCTGTAATCACATACGTCACATGGGATCTGTAACTACATACATGTCCCACTCGCACTATCACCACATTCGCACTGTCAAACTCTCTCATCCCCCAAACCCTTCAGCGTTGACAGAAGAGTACCAAATCACTTCCTTCCACCCCCATCATCAGCCCCACCCCACACACCACCATCAGCCCTGCCTCACCCCCACACACACCATCAGCCCTGCCTCACCCACACCCACCATCAGCCCCACCCCACACACACCACCATCAGCTCTGCCCCACCCCCACACCCACCATCAGCCCTGCCTCACCCCCACACACCATCAGCCCTGCCTCACCCACACACACCACCACCAGCCGCGCCCCACCCCACACCACCATCTGCCCCGCCACCCTCTCACCCCCGCCCTCCCTGCTTCCAATCGCTTACCGACTCGTACTCGATGGCAGCGAGCTCCAGGAGCTGCCGCTGGCTAAAGACGAGGAGACGGCTTCGGCCCGTGATTTGACTGGTGTCGTAGTGGAGCCAGAGATAGGTCACAATCAGGCCTGTCAGCCCGCACACGCCCAGCACAATCCTCCACTTGTTCTTCCTCACGCTGTGCTTCAGCAACTCCTGCTTGTGAGCCGGGAGGCCTTGCCACCAGTTGCGGATACTCCTGTAAACACGAGCAGGTCAGGGCAGCTCCTCAACACCATCTAACCGTAACCTTCATATCCGTCACGAGCAGCTTAAACGCCCCAGTGTTTGGTTTCAGCCTCATTTCATACCGGCATCTCCAGCCAAACCTCTCTCTCCTTTCACTTCTCCTGTCTCCTCTGCACTTGGAGAGGGGATCGGCTGGTTGGGGGTGGATGGGAATGGGGGGGCGGGTAAAGGGAAGAATGCGGAGGGAGAAAAAATTAAGGGTAGAAAGAGGAAAGAATACACAGCACAAAATACATTTGTAGAGCACTCGCCTCACAGGCGAGAAGACCTGGGTTCAATTGCCGGGCAGGGCGAAACGTTGGACAAGTTTCCTTACTCCACATTTCGCTGTTTACCTACAAGTAGGAACCCGATTGTTAGTCGATTGAAGGATCACTTTTCCAGGAGTAATAATCTCTTCAAAATAAATAAATAATATGGTCACTCAATCCTCGGCTGTTTGTGGACACTGCTGTGCACAATTGGCTGTCGTATTTCGCCCACAAAACATTCACTACACTTTACAGTATATTCTTTGAAGCGCTTTGAGACGTCTCGACAACATGATAAGGCTCTACATCAAATGCAAGAATTATTGTTATTTATATAACGCTTTTCATGTCGGGAGGACGTCCCAAGGCACTAGATAGTCTGAGGTGTGTACGTGAGATGAGGGTAGGGCCGAGGGGGAGGGAAGACGGTTGAAAGTGCAGTCAAAAAGGAAGGACTTGAGGCATGGAAGGGGAGTTTGAGGTGGGGGGGAGAAGATCAGAGCGAGGTGGGGGAAGATTGGAGCAGAAAATTGGGAGTGGGGGGAAGAGGAAGATCGAGAGCAAAGAGGGGAAATGAAGGGCAGAGACGATCAGGTGGGGGAAAGATTGGGCATGGGGTGCTTCAGGACGCTCCGTATGAGGGGGGGCTATGTAAATGCAAGTTGTTGTTGTTGGGGTGAGGGCGGGGATTCAATCAGAATAATTCATACTGTAATTACCCAAGAATATGACTTCTGTTTTAACATTAACAGACTTGCAGCCTCTCACATAAAGCAACATCAAGAGTGTTTTCTCCCATGTGACAGCTGTGCTACACTGTGATATACTTCAAAATAAACCCTCGGCAGCTTTGCAGCCCAGAGGAGACCAGCTTTCGTTCCATCCTAAAGGAAGCCAAGAAAGATGAGAGAAAAAGAAACAGAGAATGAGAGAGAGATAGTGGAAGAGAAGAGTATGAGAGAGAGAAGAGGGGGAGAGAGTAAGAGATAGAGCAGGGAAAGAGAGTCAGGATGAGAGATCAAGAAAGAGAGAAGAGAGAGAGAGAACGAGAGGAAAAGAAAAGAATGAGGGAGAGAAAGGAGAGAGAATAAAAGAGAGAGAGGGAGAAGGAAGAGAGAGGCAAGGGAGAGAGTGGCAGGGAGCGAGAAGGAGGAGGAAGAGAGATCAATAAAGAGAGAAGAAAGAAAGGAGAGTAAGTAAGACAGAAAAGAGAGAAAGAGAGAGAGAGCTGGCTGGGACTCAGGCGGGTCAATCAGATGGGAGGGGGGTGAGTGGCAGGGGGGGGGGTGGGAGAGGAGGGCAGGAATGAGGGAGGGGAGGTGGCAGCTGGCCGGAGACGTGATGAGCAGAGGACTCCTGTCCATCTGGAAGTGTTCTGTTCCCTTTATTTTCCCCATTGGGTGAATAGCGAGGTTCAGCAATGACTGTGCTCAAAGGACAACTAATAATAGTGTCATTCTCGATAGGCTGCACTGGGTCCAACTGCAACTCCAGTAGCTTTGCAATGTCTCCCTCTAACAACATCCTTTCTTCCTCAGCGGCAAGTCGCACAGCTGGAGCAACAAATAATAATAATAATCCTAATAATAGTGCCTATATCACATAATTGAGACGTCTCAAAGCGCTTCACAGGATATACTGTAAACTGAATTGACTGTATATTTTGTGGGCGATATGCAAAGGAGCAGAGGCCGCTGAAGCCATCACATCAGCTGACCTTTTAAATCCATTACATTGCCTTTTCTCTACATCCACCTGCAAAACACACACACTATACTTCACTGTAAATTCTTGTGAGAAGCTTTTAGATGTCCTCCTGACGTGAAAGGTGCTATATCAAATGGAAGGATTATTTTAAATACACAGTCATTCCGCTTCACAGCAAAATTCTGGGAGGCACTTTGAGACATTCAACAAGTTGACAAGGCACTATATAACTGCAAAGATTATTGTTAACAACAAAATACACTATTTATAGCACTTTTGGAGAAGTAGGTTTCGCAGGCAGCGAGAGAGAGGTTTCAGAGAGCAGAGGAGCCCAGGTGAAGGCTTGGCCACTGATGGCGGGTCGAGGAACGAGTGGGGGAAGAGTCAGAAAGATATTATTAATAATATTACCTCCCAAGGATCATGGCCACGATTTTTTTCACCGGTTTGAGCAAAAACAATATCAGAGGAAACGGCAGAGCCGGAGCCCGGGCTGACGTGTGAAAGCAGCTGGCCGCAGGGGAGGACGAGGCGTCTCTAGCGGTGAAGCCTTTCCTGCGCAGAGCGCAGACGGGAGCATGGACAGTGTGGCGGGACACCGCTCCAACCAGCGGAGCATTCGCCACGAGTCCAGAAGTCCTGAGAATCCCACACCCTCTGCTGCACGGTGCCAGGTTCTTGTTGTGCTGCAGGCACTCTCTCCAGATCAGAGGACGGCTTCTGAAGTCCCTTTTGCCCCCTTTGGAATTTCTCCAAATCTGAGGAGCCCCGTCAATGAGCGACGGGACCTGACGGAGGCGATCCCACCCTGCGAACACGCGCTTCCTGTGGGGGAGCGGGAGCCAAAAGGCGGCCATCATCTTTCCTCTCTGGCAGCAGAACCTTCGGGGTTAAAAAAACAAAAAGAGGAAAAGAGTCGAGATTTGTTCCGAGGCAACAGCAGAAACACGACAGAACAAGGTGATCGGTGAATGGCCTCCTGTTCCTTTTGGCAAGCTGGCCTCCCCACTGACTCCTGCTCTTACTTTTGGATTAAAGCGAAGCAGACAAAGGGACCCTTTATAATAATAATAATCCTTGCTTTTGATATAGCGCTTTTCATGTCTTCGAGACGTCTCAAAGGGCTTTACAGGACACACTGTAAAGTGAATCGATTGTATATTCTGTGGGCGAAACGCGATAGCCAATTGTGCACAGCAGTGTCCCACAAACAGTCGTTGATTGAGTGTCCAAATTATTTTTTTTTCTTGAGGGATTCTTATCAGGCATGTGGAGTAAGGAGACTTGCCCAAGGTTTCGCCCTGCCGGGAATCGAACCCAGAATAATGCTGCTAGGTGGGGTGGGTTTTTGTTGTGCTGTGGCTTAACTCTTTAAATTTTAATTTAAACCTGCAAAATAGTTTTTTTTCCCCCTTTGAAGACCTTTTCTTACATAATTTCAAAAGTACTAACCTAAATTGGCTACTCTGCTACCCATAGTGGAGTCCCGTAGCTCAGTGATTAGAGCACTTGCCTCGCAAGAGAGAGGATCCGGGTTCAATTCCCGGCTAGGGCGGATCCTTAGTGTAATTTTATTGTTCTTGTTACTGTTTCCTTATTTCACACGCCTCTGTTTACCCAGCAGTAAGTAGGAACGGTTGTTAGTTGATTGGTGGATTGCTTTTCCGGGGGTAAGCCCTTTAAATAAATAATAATAATAATTTGATCACTTCAATCTACAACTGTTTATGGGACACCGCTGTGTACAATTAGCTGCCTCGTTTTCCCACAAAAAATACACATAAGAACATAAAAAACGCTAGACGAAAAAAGACCAAGGTCCATCCAGTTCACCTTCCACTTTCCCGGCGGTCGCATGTACATGTGTCCAAAACTCCCTATGCCAGGTTCCACAGGTTCACTATCCACTCACTGAAATAGCGTTTGCGTAGATTCGTTCTGAATTTATCTCTCTTCAATCACAGACCGTCTCCTCTGGTTTTACTATTCTGGACAAGTTGATCAGGATCTGGATTGTTTTGCTCCTTTAGAATCTTAAAGACAGCAAATTATGTCGCCTCTCAATCTTCTGTTTTCTACTTAGTCGCTCCTCATAGTCCAGTCCCTCCATTCCCTCAATCATTTGGTTGTCCACCTCTGTATCTTCTCGATTTCTCCAATATCCTTTGTGGCGACCAGAATTGTACACAGTATCTAAGTACAGTCTAACTACGGTTTACACAGTGGCACGAACACCCCACTATTTCGGCTGCTATTGATCTTTTGATACATCCCAAAATCTGGTTTGCTTTACTCACTGACACAGAGCGTTGTTGGGGAAGCTTCAATTTATTGTCAATCCCTCAGGCCCTTTTCACTTTCCATATATATTATTTTCCTTCAGTTCAAATAATAGTCCCTTCCAGGATTTGTGAAGTAACTTACATTTCTCCACAATGAAATTCATCTGCACCCGATCTGCCCAATTCCCAAGTTATGTTCAAATAACTCCTATAACCTATCTTGTTCGGCTTCGCAATCCACCACCTTCCTGAGCTATGCGCCATCTGCGAACTCAGCCACTGTCCTGTAGCTCAGCGGTTAGAGCACTCGCTTTGCAAGTGAGAGACCTGAGTTCGATCCCAGGCACAGGGCGAAACCTTGGGCAAGTTTCCTTACTCCACACAGAGCCTAATAATAATCCCTCCAAAACCAAAAACAATAATAAATTGGTCATTTTCAATCCACGACTGTTTGTGGGACATTGCTGTGTGCAATTGGCTGCCGCGTTCGCCCACAAATATACAGTCAATTCACTTTACAGTGTGTTCTGTGAAGCGCTTTGGGACGTCCTCCCGACGTGAAAAGCGCGATATCAAATGCAAGGATTATTATTATTATTATTATTATTATCCTATGAAGCGCTTTGAGAGTCTCGATGACGTGATAAGGCGCCGTATGAAACCCACAGATGATTATTATTGATGTAAGCCACTGACTCGGGAATTACACGTCACTGCAGCTGCGGTCAGTGCGGTGGTGCGGATCTCCAGGATTCACTGCGACAATAACAACGCATTAGATCTGTCTGTTTAAGGCGCCTTTCACATTACTGTCTGTCGCGGTTTAAACCCAAATAAATAAGTGATTGTTGTTTACTCACTGAATTCTGTAAGCGCCGGGTGGGGCGGCTGAACGTGTGTAATCAATACCAATCAATAATAATAATAATCAATACCAGTGATCCACAATAATCAGTAATGATAATCAATATTAATGTCAGTAATCCATAATAATCAATAATAATAATGTCACTAATTACCAATAATCAATCAATCAATCAATAATAATGATCAATAATAATCAATAATAATAATGTCACTAATCACTAATTACCAATAATCAATCATGCTATCAATCAATAATAATGATCAATAATAATCAATAATGCGAGTAATCGACAATAATGATCAATAATGATAATGGTCAATAACGATCAGTAAAGACGCGCCGCTTCAGAACGATTTCAGGTGAAAAAAAGGCAATAAAACGTTTGAGAATATGAAACAAAACGCCCTCTCGGATGTGGATTGAAACGCAAACTCCGTGACGCTGAGCCTCGCGGCGCCGCGGCCGGTTACCGTGTGTAGGCCTCAGGCCTCGGCCTCGCGCTGCTCCGAGCGGCCGCTTCCCGCGCCCCGTCCGCCCGGTGTCACTCACTATCCCGTCCCTCCCGCCCCACCGAGCGCTGAACAAACGGTCCCACCCTCCCCCGGAGCACCAGCACCACCGTGTGCACACACACACACTCCCACACACTCCCTCACACACTCATTACACATATGTAATATATATGTAATATAAACAGTGTCTATAACGCTGTATAACAGTATTATATTATAATATATAGTTATATATAATATATAATCAATAGTGATCTTCTCCGGGTGTCCTGACCCTCAATCCCCTCCCAAGTAAAATGTGGCCACTCAATGCACCGCAGTGTGTGGGACGATCCCGTGCGCCACCGGTCGCCGCGTCTCACCATCACTGCACTTTACTTGAGAGGCGTCTCCACGACGTGATCGGGTGTTAACGTCAAGCGCAATTATTATCATTATCGTTATTATTATAGCGTGGTTGAAAGCACGTGTTCACCAGCTATATACCAATATATATATACACACACACACACGCACATCCGTGTATGAAAATCGGCCGCTCACTTCACGGTTGTTTGCAGGACATACTTACATACAGATATATAAGTGTCTGGCGTACACGTGCTTTCAGCCACTACGCCCCAAAACTTTGGAACTCTCCCTCAATCCGTCTCAGTCTCCACGTTCAGATATTTCGGTTTTAGAATAGTATTGTTCTTGCTCTCCGTTTGTTGCCGAACTCAAGACCGGGCAAATTTGGCCCCAGGGAGAATATCTCTTCCAGTGACTGTCCTTGGAAATTAAGGGCATTTAGTCACCTTGTGTGTACACACAACACAATCCCTCGATAACAACAATAGCACTTCACCTTCAAAGCCCTCCAAGGTCTTTCTCCCCCTACCTCTCCGACCTCCTAACCCCGTATCAACCTGTCCATTCCCTCCACCCCTCACTTCCCGCTCCAGCATCGGTAGCCGGGCATTCAGCATCTCTGCCCCCACACTCTGGAACTCTCTCCCAATCCCTCCGCCTCACCCCTCTCTTGCCTCCTTCAAGTCCTGTCTAAAAACCTTCCTCATCGACCATGCCTTTGGCCGCACCCCAACACCCAGCTTGGGTCCAAAAACCCTGACTGAAGAGTGACTTGGGACGTCTTTCTAACGCGAAGAGCGCTTTACAAGTGTAATTTGTGATTGTTATTTACCAATCGGAGCCTGTCGTGGTTATAGTGCTATTGATCTTAATGTTTACAGTGCGAGAAAAACATTTTCGAGACTTAGTTTTTTAAAAAAAAACACATGTATTTCACGAGGGAATCCAGCTCAGTACAGAAATGGTAACAAATATTCTCTTGACGGGGCTGGTCCTCGTTTTAAACGAAGCATCAGGGAAGCGAAGGCTACAACAGAGATTATATCACAATACACAGAGGGTTTTGCAATACACTACTGAAAAGCGAGCACATTTTACGCAGCGTTGCACTTTGAGCTCATTTATCTTAAGCACACTTTGAATGTTCTTGAAACAGCTGGATGCACAAGAGCGTTTTGCAGATCTACTGCAGCGTTAACACTTTGCTGAGTAAAACACAGACTCAGAAGTTGACCTCGACCGCTTGCCTAAACATCCAGGGAATCCAGAACCCAACAAAATTCTGTGAAATAACCACTTCCACCAGGGTGGTCCAACTGGCGGCCTGCGGGCCGGATATGGCCCGGTTTCATCTCCCCCCACCACCCCTTCCATTTCACCTGGCCCACTTGCCCCCTCCATAACCCATGAATGTTATGTTTCTGGAAGGGAAACACAAAAATATTGCTCACACGGCTGTTTCTCAAATAGGGCATCCGGCCCTCAGCAGCCAAAAGGTTGGAACCTTCCCCTGACTTTCAATCTGGCCTCACAAGTGAAAATAACAAGACGCGTTTCATGAATTTCACATTCTTGTCTTTTGCAAAGAATACTGGAGAAAGCAAATCAGACGACTGTGTGATAGCACCGAGGCATCATTTTGTGGCCAGTACATTGCTATCATAATATGCAGAGCCACCTAACGTTATTTAAACAGCTGCCTATGTGCGTCTATGCTTTTGCTGTTCGTCTGCAGCAACAAGATTAGAGCATTTTTGGAACGCAAGTACGTAGATAACGAGTGCGAGCACGCACCCTGGCTCTGCTTCCTGTTGCAAGGTCAGTCAGTCACTCAGAGAGAGAGCAAAGCAAAGCTGATGTACTCTCAATGTCATGTCGTGCTCCTCAAAAAAGTTTCTCTCCTCGATCCGTATGACCCAACGCCCACCTCTGGTTTGTTCCAGTCCTGAAAACATCCTTGTGGCAATCCAGCTGGTTGGTTTTCCCAGTCGGAGAATATTACGAATCTGTCAAGTTTGTCTTCAGCTGGTCTCCATCTGAGCTGAGTCAGGGACCATTTCCGTCCTTCTTTCTGCTCGAAGCCCATGTCGACACCCACCTGAGTTTGGAACATGCAGCAAGCAGTGCAACCAAATGCATTCAATATTGCAATGAGGTTCCAAACAGCTTATAGCAAATCATCTAAGGTGTGGAGGGCGGTGGGGGAGGGGGGGGGGAAGAGTGGAATGCATGCAGTTCCAAGAAGAAACTGGAATTGGTGAATGATTGATGTTAATTGGTGAATAATTTCACTGCACAATGCGGCAATAATTGCCAGTTTTTTTTAATATAACAAACACACACACAGACTCATCCGTACCATTATCTGACCATTGATAAAGCAGTTTGGAATCGGAAGGGTCAACTATAAATTTCAATGGGATTCTTTCTCTAATGGCACAACAAACATTTGCAACGCTTTTAACGTGTTATTCATCGCATTGTATATTTTACAAGTGAAGATTGTTCAGAGGGCAAACAAGCGGGAAGGATTTGTTTTCAAACCCCAGGGTTCAAGCGTAAGCTGTCAGATCCTATCACACTCATTAGTATCTGCGTGGTTTACTGTTTAAATATCTTCCGCACCATTCTGTCTTCTAGTCTAGTTTTTTTTATATTACGTATCTCAACGGTTGTTTCTCTTACTTGCCCTCCCCTCTCCTCCCCCACCATAGTCACCACTCCATCTCCTTCCTCCCACCAGAACCGAGTCAGAGAAGCCCACCACTTGTCCTTAAGGAGCTAGGAGGAAACAGTGGTCGGTCACTGTGAAGCAGATAGCTGCCGTATCACATCATTGTGTTTGAAGTGGAAGTGAAACTTGCTCATCTGCTCACGCTCCAGATTTCAGGAGAGGCCACGAGCCGCTGTGTAAGCTAAAGCCCGAGGCTAGAGCCCAAATGTCTCCGCATTCTGTCTCCAAATAGCACCTTCTGTGCTCCATGGAGAGGAGCAGTGTAACAGTCTGAAGCCCTCTGAATCCCACACTGCTTTACAGAGCATTTGTTTTACTGAATTGAACTTCACAGCTCTTTGTGTTTAAACCGCTACCAATAAATTGCACTCTTTTCCCCACTGCACAGTTTCCGTGGCCTTTGCCCCGAAGAATTTTCTCTTCGACCATGCCTATAGTCACCTTCCCCCTCCCCCTGGCTCGGCATCGAGCTCCACCATCGTTAAGCGCTCTGGGATACCGCCTGGCGTGGATAAATGCAAGTTGTTGTTGTTGTTTGCGATGGGTTTCCAAATGGCCAGTAAATCTTCTTGGAAGAGAAACACTTTCTCCACCGGCCTCGCCCAAACCTCATCTTGCAAACCTCTCGCAGTCCGGATTATTCTGGTATTGCTGGAGGGAGCACGGCCGTGACGGCTTCACACCCCGTGTTCCCATCTTCCTCTCTGTGACCGGCCAGGAACACCTCCTCAATCTGCGTCAGAAACTCTTCCACAACTGCAGCGTTCCAGCGATTTTCCAAGGTTTTCCTCATCGATTCAAGCAGCTGGAAGGGACAACAAGTGAACGGATATTTAAGATACTTTAAGGACATTATGATTAACAATAATAATTATTATCGTTTTTCACAGGGGTAATATTCCCTAAAAAAATATAATTTGGTCACTCAATCCACGTCTGTTTGTGGGACGCTGCTGTGCGCAATGGGCTGCCACATTTCGCCCACAAATATACGGTCAATTCACTTTATAGTATATTCTGTGAAGCGCTTTGAGATGTCTCGAAGACATGAAAAGTGCTATATCAAATGCCAGGATTATTAGTATCCTTGAATTTGTTACAACTTCATGTCAATTTGAGACAATATACTGCAAAGTGTAGTGTGATTTGCTGGCAAACACGACAACCAATTTGCACACAGCAGTGTCCCACAAACAGCCATGACGTCAATGACCAATTATACATGGGGGATGGTCGGCCAGGACATCAAATTGTTTTCGAATTGTGCCATGGGATCTTTAATGTCCATGGACCTTCAATCTAGCACTCCAAGGCATAGAGACCTAAACTGGTAGTTAGCAAGGTCGCTCAGAAGGGAACCTGCTTTGGAAATAATAATAATCCTTGCATTTGATATAGCACCTTATCATGTCGTTGAGACGTCTCAAAGCGCTTCACAGAATATACTGTAAAGTATAGTCACCGTATATTTTGTGGGTGAAACACGGCAGCCAATTGGGCACAGAAATAGATGCATCAGAGTGTAGTCCCACAGGTGTATTACGTCCGTCTTCCACAAGACTCCAGATACTTAATGTGGATTTCTTATTCAGGAACCCAGTTAAGAAAGACCACTTGTTATTACTGGTTATATAGGATCTCACTCAGCTCCTTTCATCCCCCGCAGCTCATCATAATCTGCACTGGCATTATAACTAACTGGCACATCACTGAGGGCGGTATAAGTAATCTCTTAATGTTTCTTTAATTATATCTAAACTCTAGCCCAGTGAACCTTTAAATCCTATTAGTGCATTATACCAATAAACACCTAGGATTCATGTTGAAATGACAGATGTTAAGAGACAGAGGCTTTTGCGTCCCGCAGCTGTTGGTATTTTATACCTGTTTTCTCACATGTAGGTTCCTCACTTTCTCTTAAGGAATAATAATAATAATTGCATTTGATATAGCGCCTTATCCCGTCATCTAGACGTCACAAAGCGTTTGACAGAATACACTGTAAAGTGAATTGACTATATTTTGTGTGCGAAACGCAGCAGCCAATTGCACACAGCAGTGTCCCATAAACAGTTGTGGACTGAGGGGAAACATTATTATTATTTTTTTTATGGGATTATTACCCTTGGAAAACCAATGCACCAATCGACTGACAACAAGGTTCCTCTTTACTGCGAGGTAAACAGTTGCGTGGAGTAAGGAAACATGGCCAACGTTACACCCTGCCGGGGATCGAATCCAGGCACTCTCGCTAGCGCTCTAACCACTGAACTACAGGACTCCACACTAAGGGGGAAAGAGCTGGAAACTGGGATTAAAAGTGAGTGATTTAGAAATCAGGGAAACAGTGGCTCAGACTCAATAGGACAAATGACCTGTGTTGAAAAAAAACTTGTTTGCTGTCTCTTGCAATGCAATATTTTAAGAGATTTTGCATTCTCAATGCAACACACAAAATGTACAGTTGTTCCACTTTACAATATATTGTGTGAAGTGCTTCGAGACGTCTCAATGACGTGATACGTTGCTCTATCAAAGGCAATGATTATTATTTATTATTATTAACATGCAGTGAACCAAAAAAAAACTTAAGGATCAAGGTTACTCAGTGGTTCCAGTCACACGGTGCAGACGCACTCAGTGTTTGAACATGTAAGCTGGCTCCCTCATTGGTGGAAGAAAAGGACAGGGGAATAAAAATGGAATAAAACTGATGCCAGCAACCTTCATTTGTATATACTCTGTATTTTAATCAGGAGTTGGAGCGCGTTTCAAGGACGCAACACATCAGTGTGAAGATTTCTGACGTGTGCCTCTGCACAATTTATTGTCATCCAGACCTGGGAGAATGAGCTTTGGACGGAATCCAATGACTTTTCTCAGGCGTTTGTTGCAAGGAGACAAATCTGACGTGGCTTAATTATTAGTGCACATCTGAAATATTACCGCTCCTCCCTCCACTGTTAAAACTGACTGAGTAACATGGATTGTCAAACTGCCACAGCATTAAGATCGCTTAAAACTGAATCGGTTACTAAATGAATCTCGTAGCCTTTGTGCTTTGAATTTTATTTTAAATCTTGTTTCGTGATTTGCATTAGTTTGTAAACAAGGTTAAAGCCATCTGCCAGAGCAATTGGAAACGGCCCCCAGTTTAGCAACGGCTAAAAATGGCTGAGTAAAGAAAGGGCTTGAATTTTAATAGTGTCTTATCACATGGAAACATGCTAACCCATATTACAATATTTACTATCAAGTGCAGTGACTGCTTTTGTTGTCAAAAGTGGCAGCCAGTTTCACTCAGCAAAGTCCCCAAAATAGCCATGAAGTGAATTGAAGTGACTTAAGTGATCTGGAGCATTCTTTGCTCCAGAACACTTAAGCCCCCTTCTCTTGTATAGCAGTGTCACTGCATCTTTACAGCTTTCAGTGAAGAGCAGCCAGACGGAATCTGAATTGAATGGCTTATCCACAGCAGGGCTTTTGACAATGCACATTACAGAGGAATTTGTATTCAACATTTTACTCCACGGTTGTTTGTGGGAACTTGCTGTGTGCAAATTGGCTGCAATTTCCTGGTGCTGGGTCAAATGGGAGAATTATTATCATACTGGATGTTGACTCCCAATATAATCGATAAGGAGGTGATGCTGAACAGATCTATAGCAGAATAATAATTATTGTGTTTGATAGCATCTTAACATGTCTTCGAGACGTCTCAAAGCGCTTCACAGAATATACTGTAAAGTGAATTGAATTTGTGGGCGAAACGCATAAACACAAGGACCTGATAAAGGGTTCAGAAAGGTCCATTATTAATTCATTGTTTTGCCGTCATAATCTGCCCTGGGTGAGTGCAGGCCTTGCGCACACAACTGAATAAGACTTTTGTGCTTCTCATACACCCACCTACCTTCTGTAAACAGGTCAGGTTGGAATCTCTGCGAAAGATTCGGAGCATTGGGACATTACTGTTAACAGAAAACATGGATTTAATTTGATCACAGTAATTGCTAGTCATTACTACAAGAGCCACAATAGTCTACTGAACAATATTGAAAAGCAGTGCTCCAACAACAACAACTTTCATTTACATATTTGTCGGTGAGAACAAGAAGGGATAGCTGGACAAAGCCAGAGAACAACAGACACCGACCACAAAGCAGGAGACCAGTCAACCCATTTCATTAGTGTTGGTGTTTGCACGTCCAATTGCGCCAGCTATCCTAATCCCAAATTTCCTGCTCTCTCCCCGCCCCCTCGAATTCCCTTCCTCCACTTGTTTTTCCATCTCCCTCTTTCAAGCTCTTTGTCTTAAATTCAAGAGTTCTTGTTGTCGAATCACCTGACATCAAAATTAACCATTTTTCCTCTCAGACCCTTTGACTGTTATGAAGTTCTCATCACATCACCCCTTAAATTCGCTGCCCCAATGGAGAGTTCTCCAACCTCTTCACATATCCAAGTGCTCTCATGTATGTACTTATACACTCAAAACTGCATACAATATTCGACCTAGGCCTTAGCCAACGTCTTAGAATGATTCATCAACACTTTTTTGTTACTTTTGAATTCAATATCTGTATATAAAGAACCGAAAATCCTGTTTGGCCCTTCTTTACCTCCCTATAATCCCACCTCTAACAATCTACATCTATTGTACCGCTAGAACCCTCTGTTCCTCCACACCATTGAGTTTTTTTTACACCAGATCGGGTATATTTCCATTCTGTATTCTTATCCCCACTAGCTGAAGCATGGCCTTTAAAACCTGTACATCGTGGAAGACGTTCTAGAGTTGTTACACCCTCTGGAACTCCACCCCACAAGACCCGTCTCAAGACCCTCATCTTCAATTGTGCCTGCGGTCACCCTCCTACCCTCCCTCCAACCCTTCTGATTCTAACCCCCAGCTCAGGTGCGGATCCCTGACTGTCCAGCGCCTTGGGACATCTTCCTGAGGCGGTCTACTAATGTAATTTGTTGTTGTTGTGCTGGGAAAGACTAGCTCAGACTAGGAACTGATTTTGTCGCAGTGGGGATTTGAGGCGGGGAGGAGGAAGGGCATATAGGATGGTGTATTTGGAACTTGATGCAAACCGTCATTCTGGTGTAGCATGCAGCAGTCTGGCCCTGAGCAAGACACTGATTGACTTTGTAGCTCAGTGAATGTATTTAGATAAGCAACATCTATAGCAAAGAGCTTTGAGACTTTTCCTACATGAAAGGGTGATTTAGTTGCTGTAGTGTTGATAAAATAGATGAGAAACACTGTGATGGGGACAGAGAGTGAGAGCTTGTGGGTTAGATGGGAAGAGAAGAGAACAACAGTAGGTATCAAACAACCGGTCTGTTCTTGTATTCTGCCCAGGAGTGCCAGAGACGCTAGCAAAGATCAAATAATGATTTAACTCTTTGAAATTTAAAACCAAACAAGTAAGCTCTCCCAGTGCTCAGAGAAATGTCACAACAATAGGCAGAATATTCAGCAATGGCTAGAGCTATACATTATGCAGCAATGATAACACATCAGATAGTTTCAGCACAAAAGAATTTTTCTTCTTGATCGAAAGAAAACGTGAAGGATCAATGTAAATAGAAGGGCAGATTTGGTACTTTTCAGTACTGGAATCACAATAGCTATACCTCCTCGTTCATTATTTATCGCACATTAAAGCTTGTCGGAAGATCACAGTATGCTCATTTTTTGCTGGTGTAGCATCTCCCCAAAAAAACAAACATACCCTCCCTTTACATAAGAGTCTGTGAACTCAAAAGATTTTAAGACCAAAAGGATCGTTAAAACTAGGACTCCTCCAAACACAAGCAAAAGGTAAGCTTGTAAGACATTGACCACTGAACAGTAAAGCCCATTATTGCTCCCCGGAGGTCAAACTAAAAGCTACAGAAACAAGACAGAACGACAAGGAACGGAAAGATCACAATTAATCATAAAAACGCTCCTTTCCTTTTGGGCCCTAGTTTATCCCTGCAAACAGCAATTATATATGGGGGGGGGGGGAGGGAGTGGAGGAGGGAAGATGACTGAAGGCATGGCGAAGCGGAGTGGCTTGAGGATGGAGTTCCAGAGAGTGAGGGCAGAAAGGCTGAAGGCCCGACTGCCAATGGTGGAGTGGGCAGAACTGGGGACATGGAGCAGGCCAGTGCCTCCAGAGCGCAGGCAGCTGACAGGTTGATGAAGTATTAGTAGGTCACAGAGGTAGAGTGGAGCAAGACAGTGAGGGCTTTACAAAATGTTTTGTCCAGTGGAAGCCAGGTTTACACAAAAATAACTTGTTTTGAGCATATAAACGCAAAACAAACTGGCCATCTGACCCATCAAACTCATTCCCACCAAAGACCACAATTATCAAATTATGCCTTCTAAGAAGAGACCATGTAGACTACCAAAGTTCACCAATTAAATAATAACCAATTTGGCTAGAAGTTTTAAAAATAAAGCTTAAAATTATCTTTTGTGTTTTCCCCTTTCACAACACATGGCTCACAAAGTGATGTAAATCTAGCTTCCTGCTCCACAATCACAGTTTGACCTAACTCTTTGACTGCGCTTTTGTTTGTCATCTCTCCCCTCCCACCCCCCTTGGCTCCCACCCCCTAGCTCGGGGGCCAAGGCCAAGCCAGGACTGTTAAGCACCTTGGGTCGTCTTCCCGACTTGAAAGACGCCTTTATGTATAAAAATAAAACTGTATTGTTAGAAGTGATTTTCCAGCAGTTACAACCAGTTTGTCTTTTTTTCGATTGTAAATGTGCGCAGTCTCTTCCTTCATGTTGTTCCTGCTGCAGAGCCCGGAACCTTCTAACTGTTCCTTTCTCCAGTGTGCGCCTCTCGAGAAACCTAGGGATCAGTGCTCGGCACGCTCTGAATCTTTAAGTACAGCATATGGGTGGGTTGGTCGATGGTCTCAATTGATCACAGACACTGTGTGCATCCTGGCTTCGTGTCTCAGACATTCGGCACAATCATTTATTCAGAGTGGCCCCGTGGCTACATTTGGACTATAAATAGAACGCTCTCAATAGGGAATCTTGGATCACACAATTTGTTCTGCAAATAAGGAAGGCTCAAATAACTCACAGCCAGAGGAGGCCATAAGCTATCTATCAAGGTCCTAACTTCTTAACTTCAGTCCTCACACTAGGATGGGGGGACACATTTCTGGTTGTCACCGGCAGGATAACACACCGAGTACAGGCATAGCAAAGCTTCCTTTGCACTACAAATAAACAGGTACCTGGATCCACCCATTCATTACAAGAGTCTCCTCCTGAACTAGTGTGAACGCTTCCACTTCCCTGGCCAGTCAACTGACCAGGATCGAGGTGGAGGAGCCAGAACAAACTAAAAGTGCCAGAGATGTTTATGTTGTTTAAGTGACCTGACATTCAGCAAGCGTTAGTGGGTGTGGAGAGGGTGATTTCTTATGGATGTGTCCTCCGCTAAAGCCTGGAGCTGCCTATGCTGGTTCCAGGCTGACTCAGTTCTAGGCAAATCATATAGTTTTGGGTTTCGAGTCAAGACATTGATCATGGGTGTCTGCAACAGCAAACTCCTTGTGTTTATTTATAGCAACGCTTAAAAGCCTGACGAGGTCTTTGGCAATTCGATGGTTGTCAGTAGCAATGGCATCAAACGGCAAGGTCACTGATAGCAAATGCTGCTAAGACATTTGTGCTAGAGTGGGAATGGTTTACCACTCAGTTCATCATGGAGATTTCAGAGTAAGGAACAAAAACACTGGAGTTACTGCTTACTGATATTTTCAAATCCCATCATGCCCTCGCACCTCCCTACCTATCCAAATCTGCTTTCACCCCACTCCACCACCCGCTAACTCTGCTTGACTGGCTCCGGCCTCCTGTTTGTGCCTCGTTCCCTCCGCTCCACCATCGGTGGTTGTGCCTTCACCCACTACTCCCCGAAAACTCAAGAACTCTCTCCCTCAATCCCTCCGCCTCGCCCCCTCCCTCCTTCCCCACTTTCAAATTCTGCCTAAAGACTTTCTTTTTTGATGGTGCTCACGGTCACCTCCCCCTCCCCCTGGCTCGGTGTCAGGCTCCACCGCCGTCAAGCGCTCTGGGACGCTACATCGCATGAAGGCTGCTATATAAATACAAGTTGTTCGTTGTTAATAGGGTTAAAATCTGTTTTATACTGTTAAATTCAAGTCCGTGTTTTGCTACTTGCCAAAGCGATAGCTTGTATTTCTCCATTATCCAGCGAGCTTTATCTATTATTTGCACCCATGGAGGCTCCTCATTCATTTCCTTCAACTCGCATTGATAGGGAAGCCCTATATCAGGAGAAAACACAAGTTAAAAACACCTCTCTGCATTTAACCCTTTTACAAATGGAATCCTATCTAAAGAATCTTGCATACATCAAATATAAATCAACTGGCCTGTATTTCAGTCAATACCATTACAATGGATAACAAACCTAGAAAACAGTCTACAAAAGTTGATATAGCAAATCTTACTTGAGGCAGAATGTTAATAATAATCCTTGTTTGATGCAGTGCTTTCTACATTGGGAGAACGTCTCAAAGCGTTTCATAGGATGTACCGTGAAGAGCAGTGACTGTGCGTTTTATAGATATGACAATTGTACCGTATTTGAACACCAACATTTGTGGAACCAAATCCACCCTGGCACAGCGGCAGGAGCTGGAAGGGCAGACTAGTCACTTGGCGCAGGGAGTCATTCCACTCAGTTCCTCTTAACCCTACAAGCCGAAGGCCTAATGGGTAGGGTAGTAATAGCTGGACAAACAGCGGGAAAGCTTGTCAGACAGCGATATCAATGGCAAGCTGTGTGGTTTTAGAATTCTCAGTAAGGTGGAGCCTATAGAACCCCAGTAAGAGTCAATACTTTTGAGGAGGGCAAGAGATAATTAACAAAAAAGTATAGTAACAATATTTACATGATTACAACATACACAAATAAGGTTACGTTCCTTGCACATATTATCGGCATTTTGGGATTTAATTTCCCCTTTATGAAAACGATGAATCAACTTAATATACAACCTCTCCTTGTGCATGTTCAAGATTGACACTGCACAATGGCAGAGAGCAAGGAATGTAATATATTCTTGTGGGTGGTATGGGATTCATTTCAAAGCATCAGGGCAGTCTGTGAATCGGTGGGTTAGCCACAAAACAATTTGAAAGTCTCTGTGGGTACCCCATTGTTTCTGCAATTCATCTGACTGTACACTGCAACAACAAATGACCTTTACACAGCGCCTTTCATGTCAGGAGGACGTCCCAAAACACTGGACAGTCAGGGATTTAGACCTGAGCTTGGGGGTTGGGATCAGGAGGGGTGGCGGACGGGGAGTGTAGGGGGTAGCAGGGGCGGTCGAAGAAGAGAGTCTTGAGACGGGTCCTAGAAAGAGGCAAGGGAGAGGGTAAGGCAAAGGGACTGTGGGATGTAGTTCCAAAGAGCGGGGGCAGAAAACAAGGTCATTTTTCCCGCATTATGTCAAGGTATGTGGTTTAGAGTTGCAGACACACTGCCTTTCTCATGTAGAAAGGTAACCTTTGGTGCACACATTAATGTGGCATAGCATAACTAGATGCAGCTGTAGGTGACAGCAGCGAGGGTGACTCTCACACACTGACATGTTTGTTTAAAATGCTTGATGTTCCCCTTGGAACTTTACAAATAATTGCCGCGCTGACAGTTCTGTGGGAGCACACTGCTGAATCTTGTCTGCTTGCTAAACAAATCACCGGGGCTCTGAAAGGAGAGACATCTAAACCTAAGCCAAGGCTGGCCCCAAGTGTCGCGGCCAATAATCGAGGGCGAGTGCTGTGTGGGACCTTGATGTCAACAAAACCACTTCAGCTTATTTTTCACCCACAAAGAAAATTAGTCCCTACACTTGACAGCAATTGCCTATGAAGTGCTTTGAGACGTTTCCACCTGATATATAACTGACAAACAATATATCCATATATACCCACACACACATATATATACACACATATATATAAACACCCAATATATCTGATAATCAACTGTTTGTGGAACACCGCTGTGCGCAATTGGCTACCGCATTTTGGCCACAGAATAGTCAATCTAATCACAGTATATTCTGTGAAGCGTTGTGAGATGTTTCAATGACTTGATAAGGCGGTATATCAAATGCAAAGGTTATTATTATTATGATTATCGATAGACACTTACAATAAGTTTTGCTTCTAAATGAAGTGCTTATCGATAAGGCTACCTATACTTACACACACACCCACACACACACACACACACACACTTGTACATCGCTCTGGGTGATGTAAACGGTTGAGATCACGCTCACTGTATATGAGCTAGCAATTTTACTTTGATCAAACTGTGCATGGCAGATAGATTTAGCCTTGCCTGGGTGGAAAGAGTTAGTTCAGATTGAAAGATTTTATAGATCTGTACTTACGGTAGCAGCCATCTGGGCTGAGTTCCTCACTAACGACAAGACATGTGATCTGGGAGTAAGGCAAGGCATTGCTGCTGTTGTACGGACTGATGATCATCCCGACAAACTGAGCTCCCCCACGTGAAAAATAATTCTGAAATGCAGAGGAAAGGCAGTTATACTCGTGTGTAGTTTTGAAAAAAGCATACTTAAAGATCATTTGCGACCTTGCAACATAGATTACTAACGTACATATCCAACAAAATAAATTACAATTACACAGCGCCTTTCACGACGGGAGGACGTCCCAAGGCGCTAGACAATCAGGGATTTGGACCCAAGCTGCGGGTTGGGATGGGAGGGGGAAGGGGTGGAGGACAGGGAGGGTGGGGTTAGGAGGGTGACCAAATGCACAGTCGAAGAAGAGACGTACTTTGAAGGAAGGCAAAAGAGGGGGCGAGGCAAAGCGACTGGGGGAAGAAGTTCCAAAGGGTGGGGGCAGAGAAGCTGAAGACCCGATCGCCAATGGTGGGGCCGGCCAGGCGCGGAGGGAGTGGAAAGGTATATATGGGGATAGCAGATCACAGCCGCGCTATGGAAGCTATTGTGATAAAGAGTTATTTGGGAGCCATATTAAAGAAATCCTCTGCAGGCTGAGATCTTAATTATAATTAAAACAAAAAAGATCGCTTGTGTAAAATCCAACCGAACCAAATATTGTGCATGTTATAGCAATAGCTAAACAGGGACTTACAAACATGCCATACAACAGTCAACTACAGAGCACCCCTTCAAATCGTTGGGCATTGAGATATTTAAAAGTAGCGGAATTGCCTTTGAAGAACTCGCAGTGATTGCACACTTCCCAATAGCTTTGAGGCTCTCCTTCATTCTCAATTCTTTAGTTTTTTTAAAAAATATTCCGTTTGATAGCTTTTCCTTGTTCTCAATGACATTATAACTTAGCGTACCACTTCTAGGTCCTGCCTGAAATCCTCACCTTTTTCTCCCAGATGCTGAATGTCCCCCCACCCTTCCACCACAAAAAAAACATTATTCTTTCTAACAGAATCCTCCTTCAGTCATCTCCTTACCTACAGTGCTGATCTGCTACTGAGCTCCATACAGTGTGGCAATAAAATGCTTCAATTTCCTCCCCCACCTCCCATCTCCTCCCCAATAATAAGGCAAACTCCTTTTCTGCATCTACGTTCTGAGTCAAAGCTTCACAGCAATGAACTTTAGTTGTAATCCTTGGCCTTTGCTCGTCATAGCTCGTACCTGGTATTTGGCCTGAGTATCGATGTCTCTGAGGGACGGATTAGGATCGAACGCAGGATGGGAATGGTACCATCCGACAATGCAGTATCCTCTCCCAGCTAGAGCCTCTGAGGCCTGTGTCTGTGACACCGGGTCCATCTCGCACTGGAGTCCCGTGCTCAGACTATTGCACGGCTCTGCAACACAGATCTGTAAACAGGAAACCATCTTTTAACTTGGGAGAGCCCAGATACTGGACCTTTTTCTCTCGTAAGGATGCCAGAAACCACTTTGGTGTGAACAGATAGCGTTCACCTATTCCCCCGCAAGCCTCTTAAGCTAATGCTCATCCCTCCTTTCAGATACATTTTTCATTGATTCATTCACTGCCCCCGGTGCTCCATTACTTGAGTTTTGTGGGTATTTTGCACTGTTATTCATCGGCATAAGCTGCCATTTCTTCCACTGATTTAATCGGTTTCCTTTCAAAATTGTTAATGCCACGAGTGTAAAATGATGCATTAAATTAAAATGGACCCTCAACCCTCCCAGCAATATTCCAGGACAGGGGTGAGAGATTAATCCATAATCCTTCTTACCTCTAACACTCTATCTCCTGAGGAATATCGCCCACCTAATAGACCAATCACCTCCGCCATGGACACATGAGCATGCTGAACACGGAGAAGAGAGATTAGTACTCCTGACAAACAGACAGAAAATGTCTTTAATACATACAGCAATCTCACTAGTAACTACATCACTTGTTTCAGTGAGTCACGGAAAAAAAGTAAATGGCAGCAATATAACTGACTATGAAATTAACACAGCATGATTTCATCTTTTAATTGTGCAGCCACTTAGGCAATCTGTAATGTACAGAGTATTTTGTGCAATGATGCTTTCAGTCATTCAGACGTGGGTCTGAAGCTGTGCGTTCATTCTTCACGTTGGGAGTTGAGCTTATTGCCTAAAACAATAGCAACTTGCAATTATAAACGCCGTCATGCGAAGACTGTGCTGTTGAGGGCCGTCACGCGAAGACTGTGCTGTTGAGGGCCCTCACGCGAGGGCTGTGCTGTTGAGGGCCCTCACGCGAGGGCTGTGCTGTTGAGGGCCCTCACGCGAGGGCTGTGCTGTTGAGGGCCCTCACGCAAGTTCCTGTTGTTTTACGCAATAAGCTCAACTCCTGACGTGGATAATGAACACACAGCTTCAGACCCACAGGCAAGAACGCCATGTCCCAGAGGGCTTGACAAGTTGCTGAGCATGACCCAAACAGGGGGAAGTGACCACAGGCACGGTCAAGGAGAAACGTCTTCAGGCGCCGCCCTGAAGCTGGGGAAGGAGGGGGCAATGCGGAGGGATAGAAGGAAGACTGTCGGGGGAATATTATGGGAGGTACCATCCTTTGAATGAGACATTAAACTAAGATCCTGGTTCAGTTATAGATCCAAGCCATTAATCAAGAAGAGGAAGGAGTTTCTCCCTTTGTCTTCACTGACGTTACCTCCAGATAAACTGTTTGTTCTTCTGATGGTTGTTTGCAGGAGGGTCACTATGCCTGACACAAAGCACCATGAAATACTTTGAAAGGTTTCAATGTGGAAAGGTACTACAGAATTTTTTTTAAAAGTTCTTTCTCATCTCCTACCATATGGCTCAAGACCAGAGACAAACTGTTGCATTCTCCTTTAAAAGAGTAAATTGACACTTAACAAAAGGGCCAACAAGAAGAAGGGGCAGGAAGGACAAAAGGACAGTGGGAGTGGGATAAGGTGTGTGGTTTATAGTGGTGGATTATTGAAAGTTTGGATTGACATGAAGCTTACTAACACACCCTTTGACTTGGATTGAGTAATATCACACAAACCACTGGCAAACTCTCACAGCCCTGGATGACGCCGAAACAAAGTCACAGCATCCAACGCACCTTTTTTTGTTAATATCGAGTCAGAGGAAAATACAAACAGAAGCAAAACAAGAGATTCGTGACAGTAGTTGACTCAAAAGCTTTATCAAAATCCAGGTCACTTTTTACGGAAAATGGAAAAACCAGAGCAATATACATTTTCTGTCAAACAACATTCCAGCAGCCTGGATACGATACTAAAAAGGACCTCATTCCTCATTCCTGGGGGTCTCACGTGATGCATTGAACCAATCAAAAACAACAACAACAACAACCAGCAGGTTTGACTACAGTCTAGATTTCCAGAAGACAGTCGGTCTGCATCACTGTCTGAATAGCTCTGTGACTCACTGCACACCCTTGCAATCTTTTAGTCCAAGAATAGTCAGTCCATCCCTCCAGAAATTAACGGAAATCATAGTTGGGCCCCTATCACCATCAAGAACAGATCAGCAAATGGATAAATCAGCAAACGGACAACCCACTCTCATCTGCCATTCTTTCCAAACAAAAACAGTCACCTCACTAGGCAGTGATTATCTGTGAAATGCTTGCGAGGTGTTCAACCTCATACGGAACCTTACAAGTGCTAATTCATTATTATTATTTTTATTACAAAAAAAATCTTTTGTATTTAACATAGAGCCCATTGTCATCAAAACGTCTCAAAGTGCTTCACGAGATTTGCTGTAAAGTGTGGTAACTGTTTCTTGTAGTCGAACTCGGGAGACATTTTATGCACAGCAAAGTTCCGCAGTGAAGTGTGCGACCAATTTTATCTTGGGGGAAGGGTGGGAGAATCATTCGTCAGATCACCGAGAAATAGACTCCTCTTTCTAAATAATGCCATGAAAAGATCTTTCTAGACAGGCGCAGACAGGAGGGATCTCAGTTTAAAGTCAGTCAGTGGGCACCAGGAAAAACATTATACATGAAAAATAAACTTGTGCAACCACTAAGAAACTCAAAGCTCTAAGTAATTCACTTACAACATCAGGTAACACGTAACTGCTCATCACAGCTGGAATATTTTAATACTTTATGAATAATTCATACACAAACTCTTCCAATAAGGCAGACGATTTTTGATAACGTTCTGAATATAATGCACTTTTCCCACAAATGTCAAATTCCCTACCCACTCCCACTCCTCTCCCTTCCTCCCCCACTCCCTTCCCTTCAAAAAACGTACGTTCAATCTAGCACAGAGTTTATTTGAAGACCAAAGGATTGAGTCTGTGAAGCAGGTCACGGTTAATCACCTCACTGCCCTCCCAGATGAGACAGTAGTTTGATGCTGAAAATCTAGAAGCTGATTAAACATCACATTTTGTAGATTAAGATGATGTACGTAGGAATGTCCACCATAAATCTTCCCGATATTAGCTGTTAACCTCCCGAGATGTGACGCCTCTGCCTTCTCCCACCTCCGTCTAATTTACGCAACAGTAATTTCAATAATTAAAATAGTTGTAGCTGAGGTTTCACACCTAAAATATTTAAATGGGTAAGGGACCTCAAATTTACTGACACGCAGGAAAAAGGAGTTGCATTTTTAATATCACGTCGCAAAGTCTGAAAGCCCTTTGCAGTAATTACTGTCAAGTGAAGGGCCTCATTTTTACAGTCAAACGTGGCTGCTGTTTTGCACACAGCACAGTCCCCAAAGCAGGCATGGGGTCAATGAACAATTTCATCCAGAGGGATGATGGTCAGGGCACCGGGAGAAACTCCCTTCTCTTTCCCAGCAGTCATGGGATCTTTAACAACCACCAAACGAACAAGCAGATCGACAACAGCTCAACATCTCACTGAAGAACGGCACATCCGACATTGCAGCAATGTGCTGAGTATCATAAAATCTTACAGCACACAAGGAGGCCATTTGGCCCATCTTGCCTGTGCTGGCTCTTTGGACGAGCTATCCAATCAGTCCCACTCCCCTTCTCCTTTTCCATAGCCCTGCAAATTTTTCCTTTTCGAGTGCTGCGTTAAAGAGAACGTGAACCACTGGGGGAAAAAGTCTTAATAATAGGTACAACAGATGAGAGAGAGGGTCCATTACCTTTTTTTAAAAAAACACACAAAAAAAAAGTTTGCCTCAAATGCGTTCAGACCAAGAAGAAAAATATTGTGTGTCTCGTATTCTTGCAATACACTGTATGGAGTAAATAGTGCAGAATTGGTCATTAGAATGGGAATTCTAGTGGAGAATCTTGTGAGAATCATTTTCCACAATATCTGAATGAACCACTGAAGCAAAGTGACTTTGGTTTGAACTAGGACCACTGGGGGGGGAGTGGTGCGATCAGCTAAACACGCTACACATAACATTTTGCTTCAGTGACATAGGATTTATTGTGCCAGATGGTTTCCTGAGCATCAGCTTTAATTTTGTTTAATAAGGAAAGTAATCCGATGACGGCAGAACTTCAATAAACGCCTTTGAGATCAGCAACTATTTGTAGTGCTGACAATTCCCTCAAACAAGTCTACAAAGGGTGATGCCTGAAAGGATGGTGGAAGCATAACTTTCAAAAATTGATTGGATATATACTTGAAAAGAAAAATAGTTCCAAGGCTTTGGGGTAAGAACTGGAGTGGGACTAGTTGTGTTACTCTTTCAAAGAGCCGGCACAGGCACAATGGGCCGAATGGCCTCCTTGTGTGCTGTAATATTCTATGAAATCCTTTCCTCACTGTGGCCACATCAATGTTCAGGCAATTTTAAAATGGGAAGAACGGGGAATTGAATACATGAGGAAAAATATTGAAGGTTATTGGGAAAAAAATTGAGGAAATGTGTGTGTGGGGGGGGGGCTGGGATTAGGAATGAACAGCTCCTGTGGTGGGAGTGAATACCAGCACAGATAATATAATGCAATAATAATCCTCAAGTTTGATATAGCGCCTTATCACGTCTTCGAGACGTCTCAAAGCGCTTCACAGAATATACCAGAAAATAAATTAACTGTATATTTTGTGGGCAAAACCCAGCAGTGTTCCACAAACAAATCGTAGATTGAAGTGACCAATTTATTATTTTTTTTGAAAGAATTATTATCCCGGAAAAGCGATCCGCTCATCGACTAACAACCGGGTTCCTACACACTGCCGGGTAAACAGAGATGTGTGGAGTAAGGAAACTTGCCGAACGTTTTGTCCTGCCCGGGAATTGAACCCAGGTCCTCTCGCTTGCGAGGCGAGTGCTCTAACCACTGAGCTACAAAGACTCCGTGTAGCTCAGGGGAGTAGTGCTGTAAACTTTCCATGATCCTGTTCTCGCCAGGTCCCAATTTAGAACATTTAAAAAAAAATGCTGCTCAACTGGTTTGATGAGTTGGATGCGACATATTTTTCCCTAGCAAAATAGCCAGCCAAGCTCTCTACTTCCTCTGATAAATAATAATAATCCTTGCATTTGATATAGCGCTTTTCACGTCGGGAGGATGTCCCAAAGCGCTTCACAGAACACACTGTAAAGTGAATTGACTGTATATTTGTGGGCGGACGCGGCAACCAATTGCGCACAGCAATGTCCCACAGACAGTCGTAGATTGAAAATGACCAATTTATTATTGTTTTTGTTTTTTGGAGGGATTATTATTAGGCTCTGTGTGGAGTAAGGAAACTTGCCCAAGCTTTCACCCTCTGCCTGGAACTGAACTCAGGTCTCTCACTTGCAAAGCGAGTGCTCTAACCACTGAGCTACAGGACTCCACGTGAATAAAAGAAGCAATTGCAGAATCCGGATCATATGAAAGTCAAAAGGCAAAATACTCCAGATGCTGGAAATCTGAAATAAAAAGAGAAGTCGCCGGAACATGCAGCAGCATCCATGAAGAGGAAAGTGACCAAAGGTCATCAACCTGAACGTTAAGTCACTTTTCTCTCTCCATAGATGCTGCCTGACCTGCTGCGTGTTCCCAGTGACTTCTGTTTTTATTTCAGAAGAACGTCACTTGTACTCAACATCAACAGTGATATGCAGTCCCTTCCTCCTCCTGCGCATCTGAATTTCACTCCACGCTGGTTCATTCCTTCATCTAATAAGATGAGACGCCTCTGACAGTCAGCTGACAGCTCCCCACACAAAATCAGCTGACAGAAGGTGTGCATCTACGGGGTTATAACTTGTCCTGCCACCTGCTTTCCCCGGTGAAGACAATGATCACATATTATGTGGTTGTTGCTCCCCCCACTACCCTAAATTGGGGGGATGTCAAGGCCAGACACTGCATCGAACGTCTGTTGAAAACTGCTTTGTTTCACGCCTGTAAATGGTCAATTCACTTTACAGTACATTCTGTGAAGCACTTTGAGATGTCTCGAAGATGTGATAAGGCGCTGTATCAAATGCAAGGATTATTATTAATTTCAGATCTACAGCATCAACAACAACTTGCATTTATATCGCGCTCTCCATGCCGGGCGGTGTCTCAGAGCTTAACAATGGCGGAGCCCGAGGCCGAGCCAGGGGAAGGAGGAAGGTGACCGTAGGTGCTGTCAAAGGGGACAGACGCGTTTTTCGCGTCTTCAGACGCGACCTAAAGATGGGGAAGGAAGGGGTGAGAGGAAGGGGTTCAGGGAAGGAGTTACAAAGTTTCGGGGGTAGTGGCTGAGGATTCGGGGAATACGAAGGAGATCGGAACCACTAGAGCAGAGGCAGCGGGTACTGCTGTGGGGAGAGAGGGAGTTAGAGAGATGTGGGGGGGGGGGGGGGGGGGGGGGCAAGGAATGGAGGGAACATTACAACAACAACAAAATTACAGTTGTACAGTGCCTTTCATGTTTCACGTTTGTACATTTCACCAATTTTCTTCAAAACCCTCCAGGTTACTTTTCCACAAACCCTCTCCATTGTTATTAACAAGGCACAAGTCTCGTCAGTTTGTTAGAGCTGGATCAGGATTGAAGATGCGGGGGACTGGGGTGGGGGGGGAAAGGGAGTGGGAGGGAATGAGGGGGGCTGAGATCAGTGTCTGGTCTGTACGCTCCAGTGCTCACAGGAGGAAGGTATCCTTCATGATTTCATTGATTAGGCGAGTTTCAAAAACTAAAGTATTTTTGAAAACACTGGAGGCGCACTCGCTGAGCGCTGAAACATCGTCTGAAAGAGAAAACCCTTCAACATGAGGCAACAGAACCTCTGATTTCTCTCTCTCGCTCTCTTTGATACTGAGTAACCTGCTGTGAATTCCCTATATTTGTACGTTTTTCAGATTTCAATGTTTTTTTCCCTCGCTTCCATCACAAGCAAAGCCTTCCTTCACCTGTAATGCAATGCGAGAGAAAAATTAAGCCTGAATAAGAATCATTGTAATTACACTGTGCAGGAGCTTACCATATCCATGACTAGCATTACTTGGGCAGCCACCTTCACCTCAAACGGTTCCTGAAATGAGAATCGCAGTCAGCGAAAATAATAAAAAGAATATTAAATGTAAAAAAAAATGTTAAGTCTGAAAAATGTATAATCATCTTTCTTATCTGAGGCGCACAGGCAGACAGGTACCTTTTTCTCTTCTGTGAAGGCATGACACGGGATGAGCTGGAAGGGGTCGAAAGAGCTGAAGGAGAGAGAACGAGAAAACACAGGTCAGCCAACTGAAGAGATTGAATCATGGAGAATAAACAACAACAAAAATTACATTTGTATAGCGCCTTTAATAGGCCATTCAGCTCCTCGAGCCTGTTCCGCTATTCTATTCGATTAATCCGATCTGTACCTCAACTCCAATTACCCTCCTTGCCCCATATCCTTTGATACCCTAACCTAACAGACATCTATCCACCTCAGTCTTGAAAATGTGAATGGATCCAGGATCCACTGCCTTTTGGGAATTGAGAGTTCCAGATTTTCACTAGCCTTTGCGTTGAAAAAATGCATTCTGATTTCACACCTAAATGACTTAGCTCTAATTTTAAGATTATGTCCCCTTGTTCTGGATTCCCCACCCGAGGAAATAGTTTCACGTCAGGAGGACGGTCCAAAGTGCTCAGGATCAGGAACGGTGCACGTTCTGGCAATGGCTCTCCTGTGCTGCAGAAAGAGGGTCAGCTTTATGGATCTTGGCCAAAAAAGGACAACTTAACAGGAGGCCGCCTTGTGGAGGTCTCACCATTATGGCAGTAAAGATTCGTGTCAGTGCGGTTACTGAAATAATTTGGAAATTATGTTACAAAAATTTGGTCACTCGACTCACGACTGTTTGTGGGACGCTGCTGTGGGAAATTGGCTGCCGCGTTTCACCCACAAAATATAGTCACTTCACTTTACAGTATATTCTGTGAAGCGCTTTGACATGTCTCAAAGGTGTGATAAGGCACTCCATCAAATGCAAGGATTATTATTATTAAAACTCGACAAAAGTACATTTTGGCTGAGATTACTATTCTGATTGACATATTTACTAGGACTAGACAATCCGTGATACCCACTCGGTGGTTGTGGGTGGAGACGCGAAACCACAAAAGATGATCAGATCACCTCAGATCGTCAACGCTTTGAAACGGTCGCTTTTGTTGTTACGCAACATGCTGTGCTCTAGGCCTCGGAAGGATTAGTACCTCTTTGCTTGGCGTGGGCCCCTGGCTGGCCTTGGTGATCTGTTCACTTCTTCCTCACGCCTACTGGCCAGTTCCTCTGCTGTGAGATGCTAACACAAATTACATCAAACGTCATCGAACGAGAACAAAGCATATACACCGAGTGGATAATCAACGGTAAATGAAAACAGACCGAGTGAGGAATCCACATCCACACTGAGAGAGGATTTATGGTTTTACACAAGATACTGGAGCAAATAGACAACATGCAGAAGAATCAATTTGCTATTTAACACTCTGAAATTCTCCATCAGTATTTCTACCAGCACCGACAACAGGCTCTCCTTTTGTGCTGTATGCCTTTTACAATTCTAATAGCATTCGGGACAGTGGAGTCCTGTAGCAGAGTGGTTAGAGCACTTGCCTTGCAAGTGAGAGGACCTGGCTTTGTTCCCAGACAGAGCCAAACCATAAGCAAGTTTCCTTATTCCACCCACACACACCTCTGTCTACCTAACAGTAACAGCGCCTTGAGACGTCCTCCCGACGTGAAAGGCTCTCTATAAATGGATTCTTGTTGCTGTTGTTAGTCGATTGGCAGATTGCTTTCACGAGGGTAAGGATTCCTTCAAAAAAAAAACTATTTTATAAAAACAGTAATTTGGTCACTCAATCCACAACTGTTGGTGGGACACTGCTGGTCGCAATTGGCTCCGTGTTTCGGCAAGAAGAAATACCTCAAACGTTTGCCCCTCGAGATCCTTGGCATCGCGCCAGTTCCCCCAAGGATCTCGCACCCGCCGTCTCCTGGTCCGCTGTGAAAACAGAAACAAATGTCACTAATCCGAGGGATGTGTACACTGGCAAAGGATGGGAGCTAATAAGATGCTCCGTTGTGTATAGCTGATCGGTCAATTTTTATACCAACTGTTCCTGAGATCTCCACAAATCTGTGCAAACACACTCGTTCGCTCCCAGAGCATAAACACTGCATAGACCAGTCAGCCAGAGGATGGTTTAACCTACAAGGAATCATCATTGCTGACTTGAATTTACATGGAAGCAGCATCGTAAGAGAAGTTAAAGAATGATTATTAAACACTTCAATGAGCTGCACATTAACTGTGGCTCAATATCAAAGAATACTTTCTTTTGATGCGGGAAAACCTAATCTTAAGCATTCTTTAGTTCTACTAACATCTTTTAAAAATAACACTTGCATATCATAGTGCCTTATTATAATAATAAAAATCCTTGCATTTCATATAGCGCCTCATCACATTGTTGAAACAACGACGACTTGCATTTATATAGTTGTTAAGAGATGTCTCAAAGCGCGTCACAGAATACACTATAAAGTGAATTGACTGTATAACATGTTGTCAAGACGCCTCAAAACGCTTCATGGGATATACTGTAGAGTATATGTATTTTGTGGGCAAACAGTCTTTTGGGAAGAAAGCAATGGCTAATCACAACTGACCACGTCGTTCAGCTCATCACCTTCAACAACTCAACCCCCGAGCCATCTATTGGATTTTATAGCTTATTATAAAGCTTAGCTGGCAGTGGGTGAAACAATATCAATTTATTATCAGTGAGTATATTGCTTTAGCAGAGAAATATTGAAGTATTTCTGGGATTGTGAGCAGTTATGAAATTTCTTCCTCGATCTTTCAAAATAAACTTTCAGATTTTTCCACTATTTTTTTCATGACAACCTTCGGCTAAGACGTCAGGACAACCTAGACTGCAGACTGGATTGTCCTACCACCTGCTGTCAAAACACTGCTCCGCAATTAACTACCAGAACTTTTAGCGTAGATCTCATCATAGAATCAGAGAATCCTGCAGAACAGAAGGAGGCCATTCGGTCCATCCTTCCTGTGCCAGCTCTTTGAAAGAGCTACCCAATCAGTCCCACTCCCCCGCTTTTTCCCCAGAGCCTTGCAACTATTTTTCTTTTTGAGTAAATATCCAATACCGTTTTGAAAGTTATTACTGAATCTGCTCCCACCTCCCTTTCAGGCAGTGCGTTCCAAATCATAATTACTCGCTGTGTAAAAACATTTCTCCTGTTATCTCTGCTGTTCACTTCCCTGCAGCTCTCAATCCAGCACAGCACTGGAGCAGTGTATTCAATGAGGGCAGACTGGTGAAAACACAATACATGTCAAATTCCTTCCCACCCTATGGATCAGAAATCTATTTCCTTACGCTAATGCTAACCAGCCACACAAACAAATTCCTTTTAGTGCCCCCAATAACAAAGGCACGTCCGCTAATTATTAGAAGCGGTTGCGACTACATTTATAATACACAATCTTTCTAAGCGTGTAATAAAGCAGTTTATTATTTATGACCTAACTGAACTGATGCAGTGAAGTAGTTTTACGCTTCAGCATCGTGCACGTTTGCACTCTTATTCAGGAGAGTGAGAGAGAGAGACAGACGGATGGGAGTTTGTTGCCATGGCAGAAACTCGATGAGAAACATCTGCTCAGGTGATAGTGAATGAGGACACAATCGAGTACGCTGCAAGGGACTGAATAGCCTTTATTCTTGCTTACAGACTCTCGATCAGTCTTTAAATCCCACCTTAAAAACGTATCTCTTTAATAATAATAATCCTTACATTTGATAGAGCGCCTTATCAGGTCGTTGAGACATCTCAAAGCGCTTCACAGAATATATTGTAAATAATAATAATCCTTGCATTTGATATAGTGCCTTATTGCTTTTTCCCCCCCCAAATATATGCGAACCACACAGATATTTGACTTTATAATTCAGAACCTTTTATGATAAGGAAAAATTGCAGTCTTGTTATTTTATTTCCCCCTCCTCCCCACCATCACCACTATCTAAAGCAGTAAGTAACAGAAACTAGTAACTGCTCCTCAGCTGGCATGAGATGAAAGGTGCAAACAAATGGTTTGCTGACAATTTCCCAATGGCTCGGAGAATATGTTCAGCTAGCAGCCGAGCCACACACACTGGACAGAGCAGGGGCGTTAATGTGATCCCGAGACACTGTTGAGCCCGTCAATCACAGGACTGAGTGGTATTGTGTACCTACAACTGGGGGTAATAATCCCTCAAAAAAAAGTGGTCACTCATTCCTCTATCCACGACTGCTTGTGGGACACTGCTGTGCGCAATTGGCTGCCAAGTTTTGTACAAAAAATATGCCGTCAATTCACTTTACAGTGTATCCTGTGAAATGCTTTGTGACGTCTCAAAGCCATGATAAGGGGCTTTATCAAATTCAAGGATCATTATAATTGGCCACTCTCTCCCTCTTGTTATATAATGACTCTTTCTCTCTCTCCCTATGAATGTTTAGCCATCACTGAGGACGGGAGGGAGTTCAGCCTCTTGACCATGGGACCGCAAACGAGCAGCGAGAGAGGAACCCGAGCCCGAGTGGAACTGTGTCCTGAGCAGAAGATAAAACAGAGATTCCAGCTGCCTGCCAGAGATGGCACTTCTTTATCCCGAGATGGTCGCACAATAATAATCCTTGCATTTGATACAGATCCTTATCACGTCATTCAGACGTCTCAAGGCGCTTCACAGAATATACTGTAAATTGGATTGATGGGTGTATTTTGTGGGTGAAAAAGGTGCCATTGTAAGACTAGAAATCCAATTTTTGCCAAAATTCCCTAAAGTATTCCTCTAAGTGCCAGGTGAAGAACAGGCAAAACCTCTCAACATGGCCACAGGCCGGCGTTTTGAGAGAGAGAATCCGCAATATCTCCAGCCACCGCACAGCTTCTATCTCAACTCTGGGGTGCCAGCAGAGATGATGAGCATTTCTCGTGCCATTAGGCTGGTGGCTTTTGGCGTTCTCGCTTCGTTTTGATCCGCTGTGTGTACATGCTCCTGTCTGCCTCATTAATTTGACCGAGACGCACTAAATTGGCTCTAAATTGAGCTGAAGCTACCCTCTGAAGGCAGCCTGGTGGGGCAGGAGGCTGAGGCGCTGCTGAACGATGCCCGCAGAGCGAGTTTCTGACCCCATCAGTGCCATCTGGTAGAGGCGCTTCCCTCAGGGTGCTGGAAATTGGAGGAGAAATCATCCATGTTGTTCTCGCTCACCTCCCCGACGCACGACTTAAGGACTGAGCAGCCCAGAGGCCTTGGAACAGGTGGCCTCGTGCTCTCAACCGAGCAAATGGTGGATAGAATTGGGCAGGAAGGAGGAGAAATCTCTCACAAAAAGCATCCTTTGCAATTTACCTTTACATCATCATCAGTTACAGCTCGACAGCAGGGTGGACCAATTTCATCCACACCCCCACCCACCACCCCTCACGTTCTCAAATAGGGCATCCGGCCTTCAGCAGCCAAAAGGTTGCCCAGCCCACTGTTACAGAAGTTACTTGTATGTTACAAACGGTTACCTCTGTTACTAGCAGGCCATTATATGTAAAATTGATGCAATGCTTTAAACTACAGTGACTGTTAGGTTTGTTCACTTACCATTGACTGTAACCTTTGGGCGAGCAAATATGTCTGTACGCAGTCCTTCCCTTCCTCCTTGCTACGTGTTCGGTCTACAGGTCGCGGTCGATTGTACACGGCCTGTTCTGCTGAAGCAAAAAGCAGCGATTAAATAATAATAAATCTCTGTATTTCATATCCTGGAGAAATACACTTCTCTTTTCATGAAAAGAATCTCAGTTTAACATCTCATCTGAAAGACAATATCATCACCAAGTGCAGCGTCGCCCACCTACTCCCCCAAGTACTACACTGCAGTGAGCCTCAGCCTCTTAAGTTCTAAGCCCTGAAGTGAAGCTAGAACTCATAACCTTCTGATTAGAAGCAACAGTAAAAGCAAATGAGCCAATCTGACATCCACCATGTTGTCCGACCCTATAACAACACTGATCCCTGCACTTGGTAGCGTCTTTACATCAGGACGACGTCTCAAAACCCTTCACACGACATACTGTAAAGTGAAATGACTGTGTGCTTTTTATTATGTGTACCATAATATAATTATGCAATTATATAAGTAATATAATTATGCTATATCAAATTCAAGTATTATTATTATTGAGACGTCTCAACGAACTGATAAGATGCTACATGAAATGCAAGGATTATTATTATTATTATTTTTGTAATCTGTACAGATTTCTCACATCCCAAAACATCCACTCACTTGCTGTATTGTGAGCACATGTGGAGTTCGGGTGAGGACAGGATCGGGACTTCATTAAGCCTACTGCGGTCAAGAGTCACATGAGTATTGGACACTTGGGAGAGGTGGCAGAGTGAAGCAACCAGCGCCCGTGAAACCATACCCCAACTGGAAGGAACAAAGGGGGTGAAATGTCTTCAGGAGAATAAAATATCAAACGATTGGCAGTGAGGAGGGAAAAAAAACATACTATTTTCCATGTATAAAGCCAATGATCTGACATCGATCTGGAGGTGCGAGCAGCTGATTTTAATCTCTAAAGCTACAGCAGAACTTTTGTGAGGCAAACAAAAGCTAACAGCATCAATATATTCTTGCAATATAAATGGCAGCACATCATATTGCCCCTGCCTTGATTGTGCAGAAAACAACCAGTTAGTGCGGATTTATCATTTAGAGCGCGGAGAAATCAATGGTAATTGAGAGTTGTTCCCTGAAAGGCAGTAAATTTCAACAATAAGAGTTTTTTCGGGGAGTATTTTATGGATTGGAGGGAAAAATGCTTTCAACTTGAAAGCATTCCCTCCCACACAATGCCCCGATTTTAACCTGAAAATTAATGTTTTATTCAACAAATTAATCTTGTGCTGCAAGAACAATTAGTGTCGCTAAAAAAACACCTCGGACATGCGTAGTGGTACTGTACTTCCAGCAATATACATTACAGTCGTTTTGGTAAGTTTTTACTAAGAAGCAACGCAATCAGTACAAATTGATGGCTTCCTTTTCTTTTCATTTCTTTTCTAGCCATGACACATTTCCTCTACTTAACATGGCTCATGTCACCTTCCACTCTCTGATCTGCTTTCTTCCGCCCAAAGTGTTTTGTCTATTCTAAACCCTGTCATCTTCGGGCAACGTGATTTCTTCATTAAGCATCACACAAGGCCACTTATAATCCATTAGAGTCATTAATCCGTGATTTTCCACAGTGCCCCTCCAGCACGATTGTCGTAGGATTACCGGATTCTAGGCCTCTCGCTCACACTTGAAATCAGAAATGTTTTGAAACGTTTTAAATTATTCATGAACTAAAATGATGTTTTTCAAATGGAAGAGAGGGGTTTTTTAAGAGACTGATTATGTGATTCACAGCGTTGCAGTGCAGGGATAATAATAATCCTTGCGTTTGATACAGCGCCTCATCACATCTTCGAGACGTCTCAAAGCGCTTTACAGGAAATACTGAAAAGTGAATTGACTGCATTTTCTTGTGGGCGAAACATGGCAGCCAATTGCACACAGGAGCTTCCAACAAACGGTCGTGGATTGAGCGACCAAATTATAAGAAACGGATCTGCATCCTCGGCCCAGCCACACATCGAATGATTGACCTTGCTCACACCCATGGTGGGCAGGGAGGCAGATTACATGCATTTCATAGGTGCAGAGAGCAAACCTGCCCTCTGATTAATAAAACCTCCATTATAATCTGATTGATGCTTGCGGTTCCAGGCATCTGGTGGCGCTGTGCAGAACTCCAAACATACAATTTGTGCACAGTTCTGCCCAGTTGACGTTAGTGCACACCTACTGTAAGTAATACCCATTCTACTTAGAAAGGCGCTCTAGCACCACCCATAGGGAGAAAAATAGCATAGATAGTGACATAGAAACATCTCCTGTAGCTCAGTAGTTGAAGCACTCGCCTTGCAAGTGAGAGACCTGGGTTCAATTCCCAGCAGGGTAAAACCTTGGGCAAGTTTCCTTACTCCACACGCCTGATAATAATCCCTCAAGAAAAACAAAAAAGTTAATAAATTGGTCACTTCAATCCACGCCTGTTTGTGGGACGCTGCTGTACACAATTGGCTGCCGCGTTTCGCCCACAAATATACAGTCAATTCACTTGACAGTATATTCCGTGAAGCGCTTTGAGACGTCTCAACGACTTGATATGGCGCTATATTATAATAATAAAGTTATTATTATTATCTCCTGTTTATAAGAAAATAAGTTAAAAGGGTTACATTTGTTTCCTTACTCCACACACAAGTCTCTGTTTACCCAGCAGTAAGTAGGAACCCGATGGTTAGTCGATTGGCGGATCACCTGCCGGGGTAATAATCCCTTCAAAAAAATAACAATTTCGTCGCTCAATCCATAGGTATTTTTTGGGACACTGCTATGTGCAATTGGCTGCCTCATTTCACCCTCAAAATACAGTCAATTCACTTTACAGTATATCCTATGAAGCGCTTTGAGATGTCTCAACAAAGTGATAAGGCGCTATATCAAATACCAGGATTATTATTGTTGTTGGGTAAAAAGCCTTAGCACTCTGTTGAAATTGAAACTCCAATTAATAAATATAGATATTTATATTTAATTAATAAATATTGCCACTTCACGGATCTTGGGAGTGCTTAACGGTGGAGAGCGATGTTGAGCGGGGGGTAAGGAGGAGGTGACCGTAGGCACGGTCAAAATGGAAGGTTAAATTAAACGAGTGACGAATAATCGAGCTTGTGGGTTTAGCGTAATGAATAACAAATGAAATATAAATAATAACAGTCTTGCCATTTGATATAGCACTTTATCCACTGTATAAATCATTTGTGAGACCATACTTAGATACCAGTCACCACAGTACAAAAAGGATATTGGAGAAATCGAGAAGATACAGAGGAGGACAATAACAAAATGATTGAGGGAATGGAGGGACTGAACTATGAAGAGCGAAGTAAATTGGGCATGTTCACGCTGGAAAAGAGAAGACTGAGAGGCGACATGATTGCTGTCTTTGAGATTCTAAAGGGACATTCTAGATCATGACAGGCTGTTCAACTTGTCCAGAATAGTAAAACCAGAGGACACGGCCTGCGATTGAAGGGGGTAAATTCAGAATGAATCTACTCAAAGACTATTTCAGTGAGAGAATAGTGAACCTGTGGAAGAGGCTCCCCAGGGAGATGGTTGAAGCAGGAAATGTTGATTCTTTCAAACACAATTAGATAGTTTTCTTTTAGGAAATAACCTCATGGGATACAGTGCACAGTTCAGAACATATGTGCATGCGACCACCAGGAAGGTGGAAGGCAAACTAGTTGGACCTTGGTCTTTTTTCGTCGAGCACGTATTTCTAAGAAGTCTGTTTTGCTGAAGAAACATAAATGCTTCACCTGTGACTGACTATCTGAGGTCTTGCTGACAAAATACAGTCAATTCACTTTACAGTATATTCTGTGAAGTGCTTTGAGATGCCTCAACGGTGTAATAAGGCGCTATATCAAATGCAAGGATTATTATCATTTAATATTTCGATTGATAGCCTACAACAGCTATTCCCAAAAGTCTTTTTGTGTTCATTATAATCGCTTGAAAAGTTTCGCAGTCAATTGCGTAATCGCAATACATATTTTTGTAAACAGCACGTAAATGCATCGATGTCCCTTTGCAAATCAAGCAGCTCATTTTAATCACTAAATGATGCCAAACGGTCACAGGAAGGGTACCAGAAATAACACTCCCAGTACTGTCTGTTCTTATGAAGTTAATTTCACAGTTTCTGTTGCTTGACTCACAGCGCTCAGAGACGCTCTCCTGTGTAAAGGGCTTTATACAAATGCAAGTAGTCATTGTTGTTGGTCTACCCCCTTTCCCCTCGCAACTACGATTAACACCTATGGTCTCTAACGAATTTGAACATTTTTAATAATCCTAGACACAGTGCATAACTTGTCAAAGCCCTTCACAAGATAATTGGCGTCAAGTGTAGTGACTGAATTTGCAGGCAAATAGGGCAGTCAATTTGTGCACAAAGCAAGAACCACATAAGACCCCACAAAACACCCATTTTCGTCTAAAAAAATGTAGTCAATTCAGTTCACAGTATATCCTGTGAAGCACTTTGAGACGTCTCCAAAATGTGACAAGGCACTATATCAAAATGCAAGGATTATTATTATGAAGCAAACTATCAATTCATTTGGAGGATTTACTATTGTTTTAAGTTCTCCTGTTCCTAAGCGTTAAATATACTAGGGAGGAGGTGGTGTAGGGGGCGCGGGCGGGGGGGAGAAGAGTTGGGAGAGGAGGAGGGGGCGGGAGAAGAGTGGGCAGAAGGGGTGGGGGAGAAGAGGGGGTGGGGGAGAAGAGGGGTGAGGGAGAGGGGGGGAAGAAGAGGGCGTGGGGGAGAGGTTAAAAAAAAGCTCACCACAGCCGAAGTTTATAGCTCCAATTAATTCCAGGTAGGTGTGTATGCGTCCGATGCAGTTGACGTCCCCACAGTTCTTGAGGCCTGGACGCACCGATGTTTTATTCAGGTATTTGGGTTTACACTTCTCCCTGCAGGAACAAAACACAGGCCTCACTGCCCTATTCCTATCCTGTGGCTGCCGGGTGTTTTAGTTAATGGGACTTGGGAGAGACAGCGAGAATCTGGAGGTGTTGATTTGATAGATTGCTGCCCACTAGCAACATTTTTTTTTGTGCAAAACTCCCAGAGTTATTGCAACCTTAAACTTCAACTGAAAAAAATAGACCAACTTTAAAATATCTCCCGAAAATGTCACTCAGGTACAAATTAGGTTAAGAAAACGTGACCCTGGTTAGAGGGGAAGCCAACAGGTGTGGATGGTACTGAATCATCCCTCCAACTCCAACCCCGCGATGTGCAGAGTCCAGCGAACAATCTGTCGCGGTGATGAATAAAGAGGAAGCGTTACTATCGAGAGAGAGAGAACGAGAGAGGGGGGAATTAGGAGTAAATCAATCTGCTTGTCATACCCACAGGCAACACCGTAGCAGCAGGATATAGGTCATTTTGCTGCCTTTTGCTGAAGAACAATGTAAAGAAGATAAGCTGCATTCGGGGTGGTGGGGGAGATAATAATAATAATCCTTGCATTTAATATAGTTCAGGGCTCTGTCCTCGGTCCCCTCCTCTTCACCCTCTATATGCTCCCCCTGTGGTGACATCATCCGCAGACATTGGGTTCACTCCCACATGTATGCGGATGACACCCAACTCTACCTTTCCTCCTCTACCCTCAACTCCACGACCCCCGATGTCCTGACAGCTGTCTGTCCGACATCGAGTCCTGGACGAGAGACAACTTTCTTCAGCTCAACGTACGTAAAACCGAGGCCCTCCTGATTGGCTCACGTCAGCGCCTCCGCACCTCAGGCACTGACAGCATCAGCATCCAAGGCTGCACTCTCCACCTCTCAAAGCCATCAGGAACCTCGGGGTTCTGTTCGACCCTGAGCTGTCCTTTCTCCCTCACATCCGCGCCACAACTGGCACCGCCTTCCATCACCTCCGGAATATCGCCAGACTACGGCACTACCTCACCCCTCACGCTGCTGAAACTCTGGTCCACGCCTTTATCACCTCAAGGCTGGACTATGGGAACTCTCTCCTCGCGGCCTTCCCGCCACCTCCCTCCACACTGCAGGTCATTCAGAACTCTGCAGCTCGTGTACTGTCCCGCACCAGACACCGCGACCACATCACTCCCACCCTCGCTCGCCTCCACTGGCTCCCCATCCCCCAGAGGATCGAATTCAAGATCCTCATCCTCACCTACAAGGCCATTCACGGCCTCGCTCCCTCCTACCTCTCCGACCTACTATCCCCCTACCTACCTGCCCGTACCCTCCGTTCCTCTGGCTCCGGTCTGCTCCACATCCCCCGCCCCAACCGCCCTACCATCGGTGGCCTTCAGCCTCTCAGCCCCGAGGCTCTGGAACTCCATCCCCAGTGCCTTCGCCGCCTCCTCCCTTTCCTCCTTCAAGGCCGGTCTCAAGACCTTTCTCTTTGACCGTGCCTTCAGCTCCCCTCTCGACTCTCTACCCCCTCCTCGCTCCCTCCCTTCTCTCCCCTCACCCTGACCATCTCCCCCCTCCTTGCTCCCTCCCTTCCCTCCCCTCACCCTGACCATTTCCCCCTTGCTCGGGTCCTGACCCAACTGTACAGCGCCTTGGGACGTCCTCCCGACATGAAAGGCGCTCTATAAATGGAATCGTGTTGTTGCTGTTGTTGTTCCTCATCACATCTTTGAGATGTCTCAAAAATCTGCCCCACTCTCTGGAACTCCATCCAGGAGTTCCTCTGACTCGCTCCCTCTCTCATCGCTTTCAAAGTCCACCTCAAGACCTACCTCTTTGACGGCGCTTTCAGTCATCTTTCCCCTCCCCCCCACACTCCCCTCGGCTCTCACCACACCTCTGCTCTCACTCCACCTCGGCTCTTACCCCCCCACCTCAGCTGTCGAGCAGGATTGTTAAGGAACTTTGGGACGCCCGCAGAATAGTCAATTCCCTTCACAGTGCATCCCGTGAAGTGCTTTGAGACGTCTCAACAACGTGAAATGCAAGAATTATTATTATCATTACTATTATTGGGACAGTCTCCCAACATGAAAGACGCGTATAAGTTGTATTGTACATAAACAGAGAATCTATAAACCTATGGACAATCTAAGGGGATACAGCGTTAATAGACATACCATGACACACACTCTTATCAACAGATTTAAAAACAAGAGCCCTTTTTCTCACCACTGATCCAGGATGTAGTTTCGGATCTTCAGAAAGCGCTCCGGTGTTTTTGACGGACGCCCCTCAAAGAACTCGGAGATGGCTTGCTTCTCGTCCTCTGTGATCACATTTTTGTCCAGTATCACCTCCTGCGCGGGCGGTTTCAAAGCCTCCTCTTCCTCATCCTCCTCGTCCTCGCAGTTCTCATCAGCTTCTGTTTCACAAACGGCGAGTTCCAGTGAGTTATCACGGAGACCCCCTTTCTCCTCCAAGCTTTTGAACTCCAGAAAATCCGGACCTGGGGCTGCTGATCCTTCACCAGCGGCCTCCGGAGGCTGCTCACACTTCCTGCAATTGTCCGAGACTCTATCGGCTGGTGATAATTTTCCTGGTGATAATTCGCCTCCGTCAGTCCCGTGATCCACATCTTCAAGGTTATCCCCACTCAGCCCGCAGTCCTTCGTCACTTCCTCAGGTTCGGACGTGGGAGAGAACTCCTGTACCGTCACCGCGGAGGCCAGAGGGACGGTCAGCAGTTCATCGGCTCGAGAAACACTACAGCAATGAGACCCACACTCAGCTGGCACCCTCTTCGAATCAGCGCCACATACCCGCTCTTTACGCTCCCCAAGTCCATCGTCGTCGCTGTCGGTTCCGTCCATGACATCTACATCTTCGTCGTCGGACATGTGCTCGATCTTCACGGTGGAGCAAGTCTGTCCCTGCGACAATGCAGAGCTGCAGGATCCTGTGCCGGTTTTCAAAGCGCTGGCTTTGTTACCGGAAACGCACACGATGTTGGTCTGCGAGATGCTCCCCTCCTCCACGGACTTTTCAGCCTTTGCCTATGAAATGACAGAAAAAATTGTAATTTCACCAAAACCTCAGTCACCTGCCTCCACAGTCCTATACAGGAACACAATAAATTTCCACAGTAGATATAATAATACTAATCCCTGCACTTGATACAGCGTCTTATCACGTCATTGAGACGTCTCAAGAGCGCTTCACAGGATATACTGTAAAGTGGAGTGATTGTGTGAATTGTGGGCCAAACGCAAAATGCAACATTTATAAACACACCACATGAAATGGAACCATCACAAATTATAATTGTGCCTCCAATGATTGTTAGCTTTCTTTGGATTCTACCTCTTCTTCCCCATCCCCCCCACATCCATCTCTTCACACTGCGGAGTCGTGAACCTTTCAGTGGTTAGGAAAGCCATCTAGCCACTCACTGCAGCAGAGAGGAATGTGCCCGTCCATCATCCCAGCACCAGGCTGCGGAAACCATGTTAAACTGGCTGGCCTAATCAATCGATTGGCCAGCCTTACCTGTAACCCGTAGCCTTACAATGAGATAGCGAGATCTTCCGATAGATAGCTCTGTGAAATTCAGTCTGATATGCGGTAACAATGGCATCAAGTTTTAGAGCTTATTCACAGGAAGGAAGCGGCTGGGGCTTGGCTGTCACTTTGAGAATTTCAATCGTTGTCATAAACAACGAGCGACTAATTAAATAAGACAAAGAGCCCCACACAATATTAGCAGCAGCTGCTTTTACGACAGGTCACGGCAACCGCTGAGAGGCAGAGAGAGGACATCATACTGCTCGATTGAATCATTTATGAATATAACAGTGCCTTTAGTTTCATGGCGTTTAACTGTGTTGTGAATGAAATATAGATAACAGAATATGAAGATGTTTTAAGTGCTTCGGCAATTGAGAGAAGCACTAGACACACTGTAATGGTGCAGTCCCCCTGTGTGCTGTTTCTAGGATGTTACCAACGTTTAAATGGCTCTAATAAGCTCGGTTGAAGAAATACTTTTGAAATCGATGACTTTCACTTTATCGAGCTTGCTCACCTTGCTCTTAAAGTACTGCCTGGCGTAACTCTTCACCTGTAGCACGGTCCGTGACTCAATCAGCTTTGCAATCTTTGTCCATCTTCGACCAAATTGAGCCTGAAAGCATTGAGGGGGAGAGGGGGGAAGCAAGTGTTACAGGCTCACACTTTCATTGCAGCTCTCCAATAATACTCAATAATAATAAACCTTGTATTTCATATAGCACCTTATTACATCGTTGAGTTGTCTCAAAGCGCTTAACAGAATATACTTTTAAGGTGAATTGACTCTTCAACTGCGCTTTCGGTCACCCTCTACCCTACTCTCCCCACCCTCCTCATTCCAACCACCAGCTCGGGTGCGGATCCCTGACTGTCCAGCACCTTGGGACGTCCTCCTGTCGTGAAAAGCGCTATATAAATGTAATTTGTTGTTGACGGTATAATTTGTGGGCGAAACACAACAGCCAATTGCGCACAGCAGTGTCCCACAAATAGGTGTGGATTGAGTGACCAAATTATTATTTTATTTACTGACGGTATTATTACCCCCGGAAACCAAATTGCCAAACGACTAACAACCAGGTTCCTACTTACTGCTGGGTAAACAGAGACATATGGAGCAAGGAAAGGTTTCGCCCTGCTGAACCCGGGTTCTATCAATGGCCTAGGACACAGCAACTTGTCCCACAAATACAGCAGAAGAATTGTCCTAACAAATGGTTGGCTCCCTCACTTACCAGTCCTTGTTCAAAAAGCTCTTTTTCCTTTGGTGTCCAGCGAGCTGGCCAAGCAGAGCTTGTAACCGGGGTCCTAGCAAACAACAACGACAACAAATTACATTTGTATAGCATCTTTCACGTCAGAAGTCAAGAGGACGGGGTTACATTTTGTGGTGCAAACGAATGCTAGCCTTACCCACTCTGACCACTGTGACCCAAGGTTTTTATACATAAATAAAATAATAATAATCCTTACATTTGATGTAGTGCCTAATCATGTCGTTGCGACGTCTCAAAGCACTTCACAGAATATACTGTAAAGTGAATTGACTTTGTGGGTATAATTTGTGGGTGAACCCGGCAGCCAGCTGCGCACCACGGTGTCCCACAAACAGTCGTGGATTGACTTCCCAAAAAACATTACTTGCCACAACTAATTCAACTGGATTAAAAAGTTCTGCACGATATTACATTTGCACTGGTGAGACGCGAGTAAGGATTTGAGCTTATATTACTCACTCTGGTATTCCAATAAAAAATATAACTTCCACTTGAATTATTGGGTTTAACTGAAGGGTGTGGAACTGGCTTTATAAATAAACACAATTAAGTAGAGCAGAGACTACTTACCGGCCTTTCAATGTTTTCCTCTGACGAATGCTTTAGTTAAAAAAAGAAATAAACGTCAATGGGGAAGACAAGAAAATGATATGGACACCAATGCAGGAAGAACACCAGTATAATAATAATAATCCTTACATTTCATCCTTAAAGTTAATTGACTGTACATTTTGTGGGTGAAACGCAGCAGCCAATTGAACACAACAGTGTCCCACAAAAAGTTGCGGATTGAGTGACCAAATTATTATTATGTTATAAATCTCACTGTATTACACTGTAGTATTCAGTGCACAGGCAAATGCAGTTGGAAGGGATGGCAATAGCTTGCCAGACACAAAATGAAGTGAAAGCACGGCTACCGCATGCCATTACTGTCACCACTAAATACATCCATGATTAGTGAGATTTCCAAGCATTCTGCCGTTTATCTAATAAAACATTTTCACACATCGAAAACTATGACCAAGCCACTGAACTGAATAATTACAGAACCGCAGCCGCTCCTCTGAAGGGCATTTTTTCAATTTGTGTGAAATCCTGAGTGAAGGGGGTAGCTGAGTGTAAGGCCATCACTTATTGTAACACTTTTTCTCATTACCTGGTACGCCATCCACAGCCAAGGCCTTAACAGTGGAGCTAGCTGGTCAGTGGGACATGACAGCGGTATTAAAATGACTCTTCTTTCCTGCGGAAAAATACCTGGGTCTCCGTGCACAACTACTTCACAATAGTGAATGGAGTGGAATTAAATTGTCTGTAAGAGACTGCTTGAGAGGCTGATGCTCATCCCAGTGAAACGCATTCATTAAAAACATTGCTCGGAAAACCCAATCCCAAGGATTATACAGAGGACAAACTATCTCGCATCCCTTTCTATTCCACTTTTAACAACCGACACTTAGAGCCAGCAGTAACAGGAATACATGGAATACATTGGCGAGGCCCCTAGGGGCGTTTTAAAGACATTATACCCATATTATTGATAAATAACTCAAGGATATGGTCATTGTGATTGATGAGATAGACATTTTTATTCAGTTTATTTAGCAGAAGAACTGACAACCAATTCAGTGTGCCAGCTGTTTGGGACAAGCAATTTAAATAACAAGGTTTTTGAATTCATTTTAAAGCAAGATGTTGGGAAATTTCTATCAAAGGGAAATAACATTTTTAATCCAAATTGCTTGCCATTAAGAGCAAGCTGCCCTCAGCTTGTCTAGCTCGGACAAGCACTCTAGGACACTACCCTCCATGAGGGGTAGCTATATAAATATAAGTTGTTGTTGTAGTCTTACTCTACCCGTTCGGCTTTGGCTTGCAGGGTTAACAGGAGTCGAATGGGAAGAATCCATTAAAGAATGGGGTACTTGGGTGAGGTAGACAGAAGGCTGATTACTCATCCCAGCAAAATATTTTCATCAAAAACATTGTTCTGACAATACCAATCCCAAATATTATACAACAGGACAAACTATCTTATCCCATTATATTCCACTTTTAACACCAGATACAGCAGTAACAGCAGTAACAAAAATAACCAATAAAATCATTCTCTGGTCAAACGAAATAATTAGGAGAGGGGGAATCATAGGAGAAAAACTGCTACAATAAAACAAAGTATTTAATATTAAACTTGAAAAGCAAGAAGTCACACACTTAAGATGCACACATCAGTTCACCTTTTCACAGGTCGATCAGACCACATGTTTTGTGAACGATTTTTACCAGTTAGATAATATCTGTGAAATGGTTAAGGAATAAACGTAGGTGGGAAAAGAATAAATATACACAACATTTAATCTAAAGGGCACTCCTTGCCTTGGGCTATAGTCGAGTGTCAGAATTGTTAAAAAATTAGATACCTCTGATATCGATCTACCAAATCAAAGTTATTATTAATCAAAGGCCCCTATTGTTTAAAACAAACCATTAAGTCAGGCTCTGCCACTGTTAAGCGCTCTGAAACGCTACCTTGCATGGAGGGCGCTATATAAGTGCAAGTTGTTGCTAAATGTGGAACAGTTAAATGTTCCCGAATGCCTAATTGGCGCTTATACAAGAGGACAGTGCAGTAGGAACAATTTTGTATGCGTCACGAGACAACGCAGAGATAGGAAGAATTATATATAATAATCCTTGCATTTGATATAGAGCCTTATCACATCTTTGAGATGAATCAAAGAGCTTCACAGAATATGCCGTGAAGTGGTTTGGGTGAATATTTTGTGGGCGAACTGCAGCAGCCAATTGCACACACAGCAGTGTCCCACAAACAGTCGTGGATTGCATGACCAAATTATTATTTATTTATTTTGAAGGGATTATTACCCCCGGAAAAGCAATCCGCCAATCGACTAACAATCAGTTTCCTACTTACTGTTGGGTAAACAGAGGCGTGTGGAGTAAGGAAACTTGCCTAAGGTTTCGCCCGCTGCCCTGGAATCAAACCTAGGTCCTCTCACTAGCAAGGCGAGCGCTCTAACCACTGAGCTATAGGACTTCACATTGGTGGGCTCTCCTAATTAGTTTTTAAAATAAAATCAATGTCTGTCGCTTCATTTTCCTGCACCCAAGATAAAGGCAGAGAAGTCATTTTTAGTAACTATCGTATCTTCAGTCATTCCACGATATGAATTCCCATTTTACAGCATTTGTTTCCAGTCATGTGGGCCATTAAAAGCTGCTGCGTGACAAAGATATGTGGAAAAAAGTAGCTTCTCTCAGAGGGAATTAAGCAATGATCCTGTTGAAAAGACTTTCCATGTATATCTGTGATAAATAGGGAGATAAGCACCTCTCCATAAACTAGTATTCACAGCATAATAAAAAGAAAACACCTTTCGTGTTAAAGTAATGTTGCTGGCTTATTTGACGTTGTGAAGATCCATGGCGAATAAACCTCAGAGAATGGCATTGAGGCCAAATTCATTCCAATGTAGTATAGGCATGCAGTCGTACTCACATAGAAGCTATTATGTGGTTCAGCCACAAGCACACATATCAAGCAGTCACTCATCCCTCAAAGGGCTTTATTGCTAGTTATGTACTAAAAAGAAACTCCAGCTGACAATATAACTGTAAGGTTTCAGGCGCGATCTGACCTTGGTGGATTATAATGAATTTGTACAGCAATGTTACCAATGAAAAGGATACTCTTCTTCCTGTAGCATCTTCTCAATTGCTGCTCTGTTCTCTTCACTGATGGAGCTGTCCAAAGTCCAGGACTGCTAATGGGGTGGGTGGGGAGGAAGCGGGGGAATGAAGATGAAAACAAAATAAATTCACAACAGTCAAAACTCTCTAGAATCACTGCCTTTAATGATCTGAGTTTCGAACCCATGGGAGAAATCTTCCTGGAAATTCAACGCCTAAATATACTTTAAAACATGTACACACAGAATAATACAATGACAAACTACTGATCTTATATTCAGACACGCTAGGAGTACATTAGCACCTAAAGATCCTCATTTACCCGGGTACTTCCTCTTGTCTTGATGCTGATTATTCGATTATTTTACTTCACAAAATGATAAATCTTTAATTTTCCCATTACTGCACCATCACGCATTTGCCACAAATCATACTCTGAATTTAACAACAGTCTCTGGGAATACTATCAGCCAAAGCTGTGAGGGAGGCACTTAAAAGCACAAGGAAAACCTTCTCTGATATCTTGCGACAGCATGCTAAGGCTGCTCCCATGGCACTAGTAGCTCAATTGGACATCTTAAGTGAGTGAAGTCCTGTAGCATTTGGTTACAGCACTTGACTCGCGAGCGGGAGGACCTGGCTGCGTTCCATTCCCGGGCAGGGAGAAACGTCGGGGAAGTTTCCTTACTCCACACGCAGTAAGTAAGAACCCGGTTGTCATTCGATTGGCAGATCGCTTTTCCGGAAGTAATAATCCATTCNAAAAAATGAATACAAAATAATAATAATTTGGTCACTAAATCCACGACTGTTTGTGAGACGCTGATGTGGGTAATTGGCTGTTACGTTTCGCCTACAAAATATGCAGACAATTCACCTAACAGGGTATCCTGTGAAGGGCTTTGAGACGTCTCGAAGACGTAACGAGGCGCTATATCAAAGGATTATATTATTCACAACAACAACTTGCAACTCCACACAGGGCAGAGTCTCAGAGCATTTAACAATGGGGGGGAGGGAGCGGTGGGATGTAACCATAAGCAAAGAAACATTTTAAGGTGGGACTTGAAAAAGGGGAGAGAGGGGGCAAGGCGGAGGGATTGAGGGAGAGTGTTCCAGAGTTTCGGGGCGTAGTGGCTGAAAGCGCGACCTCCGATGGCAGGGCTTAGGGTGCGAGGGTATGAGCAGGAGCCGGTGCCAGTCGAGTGGAGGTGTCAGGTGATGGATTGGGGAGTGAGGAGGTCGGAGACGTAGGGAGGTGCCATTTGACCAGTGAAGTGATTTGAACACGGGCAGACTAATTAATCAGCGTCAATAAGTTCCGTTGCTGAAAACAAATTGCCGCTTGAGAAACTAAACACCTTCTGACATTTACTGCACAGTGCGCACACCAGAAAGGAGGCTGCGGATTCAAATCACAAGATCGCAAAATGGGTTCGGATGAAGAAAGCCTTTCAGCCCATCCGATCTCATCCTTCCAGAATACCCCGTCTTAACAACTTCTCATCACAGAATGTGCAGTTTTTTTAAAGGAGTCCCAGCGTCCTGACCTCAACCACCTTTCCTGATAACCTGCTCTCGACACTAATTGCCCTCCAGATAGATTTTTTTGCCAGTCAGTTTTTGGAGCAGAAAATCACATGCAAATTCACAAAAGGCTATGGGTCTGGGATACAGAGAAAAGGCTGGGTTATGGGATTAGGAATGGGATCTTGGATGGGCTGTTGCGTGGAGTATGAACACCAGCTGGACGGGAGGACGGAATGGTCCATTTCTGAGCTGTACCTTCCACGAATCTATAAAAAATATAGTTCCTGGTGTCTGTCATGAAATTGCTTTCCATCTCTTGACCTGTGGTCTCTTGTTCTGCTGTCGAAGTGGAACTAAAAGTGTTGTTCTGGGTTTATTTTTCACTAGCTGTACCCGTTGCAGCTAAGCTTGCAACCAGTTTAATTTGATTGGCATTTTGTAATTTTTAATATAGCTCATCAACGATAGGAGACCCCCAACAGAAAATATGCCCATAATGCTCCCCCTTGTTTTCTGATGAGGTGCAAATCATGCCTCTGTGTCAATCGGTTATTGAGTTCTTGACGGACACACATACAGACAGATATTTTGTCTTTCATTAGTATAGATTAACATGTTTTGGCATCAGAACCGAGCCTTGTTCTATCCTCCTCCTATTTCCCACACACACAAAAATTGCCAACAGTGAGAAATGGATAGTAATCAGGGTAACCAAATTCTCGTAAATTTTCACTCTTCCCACCCCAGGAACACAGAGACCAATTGCAGTGCCCTTCCTAATAATAATAATCCTTGCATTTGATACAGCACCTTATTATGTCGTCGAGACGTCTCAAAGCGCTTCACAGGATATACTGTAAAGTGGAGTGGCTGTATATTTTGTGGGCAAAACGCGACAGCCAATTGCGTACAGCAGTGCCATTGTTCGGTGACACTAAACACTGCACAGTACAGTTCTGTAACAGGTAAGCTTTTAGAAAGCTCACAAAGCATTAACCTTTGAAGAGAATATTTCTATTCCTGAGAACCATTTAAGTTTTCAGAAGTCAATACAGAGCAGAACAAATTTACTGCACTACATTTAAAAAGTACACCTGCACAGATACACAACCTTTATGCGCTTAACTCTTTGGGTAAGAGCAAAGCTGCCTTTGAAGAGTGTCGATCCTCAAAAGGCTGCTCGCTTGTTGTAAACAGATTAGCATTTCCCAGAAAAATGCTTTGATACATCTAATGCAACTGAAACGGATTTGAAATAATAAAAATCTTTGCATTTGATACAGCACCTTATATATCTTTGAGACGTTTCAAAGCAGTTCAAAGGATATAATGTAAACTGAATTAATTGTAATATTTTGTGGGCGAAATGCGGCAGCCAATTGCGCACAGCAGTGTCCCACAAACAGTAATGGATTGAGTGAACAATTTATTATCATTGTTTATTTTTTGAAGGGATTATTACCCCGGAAATCGATCTGCCAATCGTCTAACAACTGGATTCCTACGTACTGCTGGGTAAACAGACGCGTGTGGAGTAAGGAAACTTGCCCAACATTTCGCCGTGCCCGGGAATTGAACCCGGATCTTCTCGCTTGCGAGGCGAGCGATCTAACCACTGAGCTGCAGGACGCCACAGAATTGGTTGAAGCCATGCAGTGCTGAGCGAGGGACTTACCAAAAAGCCTTCGTCATTTCTCCAGGAGGAATCCAGATAACGGTTCTGCCGGAAATCAGAAGCTGTGCCATTGTCGTTACTTCAAACAAAAATAATTTGCTGTTCAGGACCGACAATTATTCTCAATCAAAGCACATATCCATCTGTGTCATCATAGAATCACAAAGTTTAACCAGCACAACTGATGATGACTCTGGGATGGTACCCTGTGTGAGGGGCGCTATATAAATGTAAGTTGTTGTTGTGCACGCTCCTCCATCGGAACTACCCACTCTACTCTCTTCCTCTCAATATCCTTCAATATACATTTTCCTAAAGTAGCTAACCAATTCCCTTAAAAATTCTGTGATAGCTTCAGCTTCCACAGCTATCTGTGGTAAGGTGCTCCATGTTACAATGATTCGTCTGTAAACAAAATAAATCTTTTAAACCACTTTTTTCCTCATTAATAATACTTCCGTTTTTTGCCTTTCCCTGACTGACTTGCTCATCAGTGGATGTAGCTTCTATTTATCCGATCAAAGCCATTCACAATGTTGTAAGCCTCGACTGTCACTACTCCGGTGAAAACAGTTTTTCAAGTTTACTCTACACAACTTCTCAACCTTTGTACCATCCTACTAAATCTCTGCTTCTGCCCTCTCACGACTTTGATATCCTTTCCTTAATGGGGGCTCGAATAACTGGACACAGTGCAACAACTACATCCAAACTAACAACAACAGAATACATTTATACAGCACCTTTCAAGTCAGTGGGACATCTCAAAGCACTGGGCAGTGGAGCATTTGAACCTGAGCTGGGGGTGGATTGGTGGTGGGTGAAAAATAATAATAATCCTTGTATTTCATACAGCACCATATTACGTCATTGAGACGTCTCAAAGCTCTTCACAGAACATAGCTGTATTTGTATTTTGTCAGTAAAATGAGCAAAGGCACAGGCAAAGAGGAAGGTTTTGAGACAGACCTTGAAGCCAATGTCTTATACACATTTAACAATAATTATTTTCACTTAAAATGAGTGTTGGCCTTGAATTAGACGCACAAATAAACTTGGATGGGGGAAACATTTTCCTCTAAATTTGCAAAAAAAATTTCAAGAAGTATTCCTTAATTCCTCCTGAGAGTGTGTGGGGAGGTGTGACAGTGTGTGTGACGATGTGTGTTGGGGAGGAGATGTGTGTGACTGTGTGTTGGGGGGGAGGTATGTGACTGTGTGCGTGTTTGTGTGGGGGTGAAGGTGTGTGTAACAGTGAGTTGCAGGGAGGTGTGTGAGACAGTGTGTGTGGGTGGGGGGAGGTGTGTGAGACAGTGTGTGTGGGTGGGGGGGGAGGTGTGTGTGACAGTGTGTGTTGGGGGGAGGTGTGTGTGACAGTGTGTGTTGGGGGGTGGTGCGTGTGTTGGGGGGAGGTGCGAGTTACAGTGTGTGTTGGGGGGGAGGCGTGTGACAGTGTGTGGGTGGGTGGGGGGTGTGGGTGTGTGTGTGGGGCGGGGTGTGTGGGGCGGGGGTGTGTGTGTGGGGGTGTGTGTTTGGAGGGTGTGTATGTGTGGGGTGTGTATGTGTGGGGTGTGGGGGTGTGTGTGTGGGGGGTCTGTGTGTGGGGGGGGTGTGGGGGGGGAGGCATGTGACAGTGTGTGGATGGGTGGGGGGTGTGGGGGTGTGTGTGTGTGGGGGTGTGTGGGGGGGGAGGCGTGTGTGGGGGTGTGTGGGGGTGTGTGGGGGGGGTGTGTGTGTGTGGGGGTGTGTGTGTGTGTGTGGGGGTGTGTGTGTGGGGGGGGTGTGTGTGTGGGGGGGTGTGTGTGTGTGGGGGTGTGTGGGTGTGTGTGTGTGGGGGGTGTGTGGGGGGGGAGGCGTGTGTGGGGTGTGTGGGGGTGTGTGGGGGGGGGTGTGTGTGTGTGGGGGTGTGTGTGTGTGTGTGTGGGTGTGTGTGTGGGGTGTGTGTGTGGGGGGTGTGTGTGTGTGTGTGTGTGTGGGTGTGTGTGTGTGGGGGTGTGTGTGTGTGTGGGTGTGGGGGGGGGGGGGGGTGGGGGTGTGTGGGGGGTGTGTGTGTGTGTGGGTGTGGGGGGGGGGGGGGGTGGGGGTGTGTGGGGGTGTGTGTGTGTGTGGGGGGGGGGGTGTGTGTGAGAGGTGTTGGGGGGAGTGAGAGCTTCGCTGTGTTTACAAACAGCGGAGGCCCTGTTCCTCTCCCCGCGCGCGGGGTGTGTGTGTGTGGGGGGGGGGGGGGGGGGGGCAGCCTCCCCTCCCGGCGCCCCCCTCCCTCCCTCCGGCGCCTCTCCCCCTCTCCCCCTCACCGTTGGCTCAGCTCAGCCCCGTCCCCCTCGATATCCACCTCCACCTCCTCGGCCGCCGCCGCCGCCATGGCGCCCAGCAACACAGGGCCGACTTCCGGTCTCCACGCCGTCACTTCCGGTCCCCCCCCACACCAGCCCCGGGGTCAGCGCCACCCGCTGGCCACCCGGCGGCACCGCACCCTCAGGGCTCAGCAGCTCCAGAGTCCACCAAATAATAATACATTTAACAATGTGATGCATAACATTATCCTCACAACATAACAAATAATAATCACTCGCTTTAATATAATAAAACACTAGATGATAAATAATAAATCGTTTTGATGTAATAAATCATAATATGGTGGATAATAAATAATGTTTTAATGTAATAAATCATAATAATAGATAATACAGTATGATTAATTGTTTTAATATCATAAATAATAATAGATAATAATTTATAATTAATTGTTTTAATATCATAAATAATAGATAATAAATTATAATTAATTGTTTTAATATCATAAATAATAGGTAAAAATAATAATTAATAGTTTTAATATAATGAATAATATAATAGATAATATATAATATATAACCCTTGCATTTGATATGGCGCCTTATCAAAAAAGACACACAAAAATACTGTAGACGCTGGGAATCTGAAACAAAAACAGAAGTCGCTGGGAACACTCAGCATCTACGGCAGAGTAAAAGGGAAGAACGAAACTCATGTCAAAGAGAAGAGCATAACTTGAGGCATCTCAAAGTGGATACACTGCACCATGAATTGACTGTATGTTTTGTGGGCGAATCAACAACAAATACCATTTATATACAGTAGAGCCTTTCACATCGGGGGAATGTTGCAAGTCCCGTAGCATAGTGGTTAGAGAACTCGCCTCGTAAGCGCAAGAATCTTCGGTTGAATCCTGGGCAGGGGAAACCTTCGCCAAGTTTGCTTACTCCATTACACCACACTAGCAGATCCCTTCAAAAAAATTGGATTGGTTGCCGCGTTTCATCAGCAAATTCCGGTCAATTCACTTTACAGTATATTCTGTGAAGTTCTTTGAGACTTCTCAACGATCAACGACAATGGTCATTCTGCAGCGAGGCAGGCAGGGAGGGCAGATCAGGTCGGTCACTCTAGGGTTGGGAGGGTAGGTTAAATGTGGCCACGGTGTTAAGTTGAGGAAAGAAAGGGTAATACACTGTTCATTCACTCCCTGAAAGAGAAAGATATTTAGTTTTTGACCTTGACCAACCTCTCTCTTTCAGGTGCTGATCCAACCTGTTACGATACAATTTACATTTATACCCAGCAGAGGACGGCTCAATGTGCCTTCCACCGCTGGCTGGAAACCCGAGTCGGAAAGGGAATGGGAACTGAAAAAGGTAGAGAAGAGAAAGATGGCAAAGTGCGGTCAAAAAAGAATGTCTTGTAGACTTTCAAAGTTGGAAGAGACTCGAGAGAGTTCCAGAGCGCGGGCGCAGAATGGTTGAAAGCTCACCTGTCTGGTGAGGGTGTGGATAGGGCGGGGAGCAACGAAGCAGGCCAGTATTTGCAGAGCGAAGGGAGTGCTGGGCCGCAATGAATGTTGGAGGTCGCAGAGGTAGGGTGGGACAGGCTGTAGAGGGATTTTACAGTGAGGACAATCCGCTGGGAGGGTGAGGTTGTGAAATTTCTCAGCCTTTTAAGTCAGATTTCCAGCACAGTCTTTTGACGTACTTTTGGCTAACTTTGAATTGGCGCTTTGCAAAACATAATAGTCTTTCATTAAATAGATTTTTAAAAAATCCAATTAGGACTCCTAAAAGCTCCCTGGGGACACATTGCTATTTTTCTTGGTTACGCTTCCGGAAAAAAAAAACATTCCTCCTAAATGATATTTAGAGTTGGCATATTGTTGGCTGCGCTGGGAAAACTACCAGTAATCAGCTGCAGCACAGAGGGCAAAAACAGGTGAGGAAAATGGGGAACTCTGCCAAGTAATTGGAAGCCAAGTAATGAGCCAGGTCTGATGGATGTCTAGCGAGGTGGTATTCTCTGAGTGGAGGGAATGGCCGAGGCAGTAGAGCTTTGGAGGGATTTGAACACAAGGGCACGGACCTTGAATTCGGTCAGCTGGGGGATAGGGAGCCAGTGGAGCCGAGATGGGCTGGTGGAGCGTGCAAATGTGAGGTAGAGTCTGACAAAAATCTTTAAAAGAAATTAAAATTCCATGTCAATAACAGGGCTGCAATCAGAGTAGAGAGCAAATGAACTGCAATTACAGTACACTCTCAATTATTAAACATTCAATTACAGCTAATTTGATTGCATTACTTCTATTAATTTCTGTGCGCTGCAGAAGAACAGATGGTTCAATTCCAAGTCACAAGACAAGTCTTCTATTCTCGGCAAGGAACAAAGCCACATCATGGAGTGGATCTTGTGGCATAAAAACTCACACCCCGTCCTAATGACATCGCAGTATTTCGCAAGGCAAACACTTGACCCCAATCTCGTGCTTTGAAGGAACAGCAGCAACAACCTGCATTTATATAGCACCCCTCACGTAGGGGCTTGAAAGCAGAGGGAAGAACGAGGATGAAATTTTACAAACAACTTACGACACGGTTGACGGCTCAAAGACCGCTTTGTGTGGACAATTCCAATTCCATACCTCCTTTCACTGTACAGCTTTTATCCACTACAAGATTTGTGAGCTAGTGATCATGAGTGGCCGCTGTGCTTGTGTCCTCTCGAGTACTCTGCAGGCTTAAATACAGTACCAACATATCCAGGAAAGAGTCTCGGTAACAACCTGTCAAATTCATCCAAATGCATATAATGCCTGCGAATTTCAGGTTTACAGTAAACAATCGCAGGCTGTACAACCATTGAGTGTAGGAACATTGGAACAGGGGTGAACCAGTGTCAAAATCCTTAAGTAACCTTGCCTCCCAAATATCTATGAAACATTTCCCTTTCAAACTTTACCTCAAATTCTACCTCTACTGTTCTGAGACAGTGAGTTCCACATTCTTGTGACTCTCTGTGTGGAGAAATGCTTTCTGATCGCACCTCTAATTGTCTTAGCACTAAGTTTAACATTATTGCCCCTTGGTTTGGATCCAGAGGATCCAGATAACTAAGAGGGAAGAGCCATCTTCTGTCTAACTTGTCAATTCCCTTCATTAGCATTATTCCTCAACAACATATAACGTCAAGATTTCTCAAAACATCTCAATTTCATGTTTTTAACCAGGAGGTTTTGGGGTAGGAGGGGGGGGTTACGGACAGAAAGGAAAGAAATGATGGGTTCTGAGTGAGTAGTCCGGAGTAGCAACAGGAGAGGTGGCAAGAACCATCCAAACGAGCAGAGAGGAATACCAATTACATCGATATCATCATTTTATATAAAAGTCAATATAAAGTCAATTTGGCAATCAGTATTCCATAACAAAATGCCATTCAAAAATGCAGGATTTGACAATTTGGCTCAATTTCAACAAACACCGAAAGCCAATGATAATTTTGTGTCTCGTTTGAGACTGAGGGTGTGACCATCAAAGTTCAGTGCAGTTCCCCAACACAAAGGAGCAAAGCATTTGGAGCTGTGATCGGGAACTGCTTATGCGCTTTGTGACTTTATGTGTCGTCGTCTGAAGAATAGTAGCACGACAATCCCAAAATTTCAGAACTTTTAGTCTGCAAAGCAGTCTTTGGAGGACTTTTTCCGGCCTTCGATGTGTGCGGCTCTTGTTCTCGGCTGTTCAAACCTGTTGCTGTTCCACAGGGAGGTAAAATCCGTCGTAAATTCGGGAGCTGCGACCGAAGAATTGTACTCATTTGATGCGAGTGTTCTCCCTGAGTACTGTTTGAAACCAAGGACATTGAAAATCTCAATGACGCCTTGTCAAAAGTCAGTGGTTGGTCCTGAAGTTCAGGACTGACTGTTGAACAGTCGTACAATATCCCTGTATCCTGTATCACTGGGCTCCTCCATCTCCTTCCACTCTCCTCCTCATCTTCACCCGAATGGTCTTGCAGACTCCCGTCTTCTGTGTTGTCCGATAGTAGAGGTGTACGCAATCTTTTCACGGCACCCGACTCATCTAGTAAGTTTTTTTTTAAAAAAAAGTAACTCAGGAAACATTTCACAATAGCAATGTAATTCCTAAATTAGTGCCGTTTGATCAATCGAGGTTCTCTGCCTGAAACATTGAGGAGGGGTGGCTCTTGCCCTGATGTATCCTCACCTGCTCGAGATCACTGTCCCACCATCCCTCCCTCGCTCTCTCTAACTATGCTGAACTCCTCGGGATCTTGTTGGATTGGATCTCACAGAATATTACTTGCCCCGCAGCCTGGTTCCATCTCTAGATTCCATTTGTTCATTACAGGGAGATGTGGTATTGCTCAGCAGCCTCAGCCCCCTCTACCCACCCGCTAGTATTCCCATCAACTTGGATAACCACAGGTTTTCATTCACTTCCTGTCACTGACACCCATTCTGCTGCTTAACAACACGAATAGAAACCTTGACGTTTCTCGAAGCACCACAAAACATTCACTTTACAGTACATTCTGCGAAGCGCTTTGAGATGCCTCAACAATGTGATAAGGTGATATATCAAATGCAAGGATTACTATTAAGTACCCTGTGGATGGGATTATTATTCCTTCCACCTTGCATTACCTCGTTCAACACCTGTAGGTTCGTTTATTGGTATCTCAATAACGGCAAACAAACTTGATTTGGTCACTTAACCCATGCCTGTTTGTGGGACACTGCTGTTTGGTTGCTGTGTTCTGCCTACAAAATACAGTTCATCCACTTTATTCTGTATATTCTGTGAAGCACTTTGAGCCGTGATAAGGCGCCATATAAAATGCAAGGATTATTATTATTATCATCATCAATACCCAACTGGCTGGCTGGCTGCTTCCTCTCCTTGTCTGGCCTCTTCCGTGTGTATGCACGGGGTTTCCAGGGGTGCTCCTTGTTGGAAGGATCCAAATGGCGCACTTTCCACAAATAGCTTTGGTACTCTTTCCGAAGACCTTCGATGTGATCCTGGAACTCCTTTATCTTCCTCTCTGAGTAATGGGATAGCTGGGATTGCTGAAAAATAATTCAAAAATGTACTTATTTCCTTCCACACCCCACCTGAAAAAATGTCACTCTATCTACGACTGTTTGAGGGACACTGCTATGCGCAATTTTCTGCCGCATTTTACCCACAAAATATACAGTCACTGAATTTTATAATATATTCTGTGAAGCACTTGGGAGAGGTCTCAATGATGTACTGACAACAACAGCATTTATATAGCAGGGTAGCGTCCCAGAGCACTTGATATAAGATGCTACATCAAATACAAGGATTAGTTTTATAATTTTCTCTCCTGAACAGCGCCTTGGGACGTCCTCCTGACGTGAAAGGCGCTTTATAAATGGAATCTTGTTGTTGTTGTTGTTGAATATGTTTGGGCTCTTTCATTCTTTCTACCACAAAATTAAACATACACATGAGGGTGACCTTCAGTCCCCAGTCACGACACCCACATTTGTTCTAGTTAACAGTTCAACAAACAAAAAGTTTGACATAACTTTAACTGACAACATCAATGTATTCTTAGATTTGCCCCCACCGGCCCACCGCTGCCCCGTCAGCCCACCGCTGCCCCGTCAGCCCACCGCTGCCCCCCCAGCCCACTGCTTCCCCCCACCATCCCAACACCCAAGGATACCTCTCACCTGCAGGTAATATTCAATCTCAGCCTTGATGCTTGGAATCCATCTTTTCACTTCAGCAGCCGTATTTAACGAAGTCTACGTGAATGAAAAAATATTGGTCACTTTATCCGAAACAAGTTAGTGACACAGAACTTAAAGTACAGGGGGAGGCCATTCAGCCCACCAAGCCTGTGCTCACCCCTCCAATGGAGCCATATACACTAACCCCAATTCCCTGCTCTTTCCAAACACCCTTTTTAGAATGTTTCCCATTGAATATTTACTCAATTCCATTCTAAATCATGTTTTGGATTCAGACACTATAGTCACTTGCGACACTGCATTCGATCTTCTAATTACCATCCGCTGAAAAGCTAGTTTCATCTAACCTTGCCCTCAATTTACTCACTTCTCACCGATTTATAATCAGGACTCCATTACATTGGAATAATAAACACATTGTTATAGATTCTTAGTCACTCACTTCAAAGGAACCCATTGTGTGATAAGGTGCTGTACCAAATTTTTTTCTTAACTCTGTGGCTTGAGAAGACAAAGACTGCCTTGAGGAGGTTTAAGTCAAAGTCTGTGGACTGTGGGAATTTGATAATTGGTACAGGATATGAATCTCAAAAACGTTACAAATTATAGGACTCCATGAAAACTTTAAAGTGCATACCAAATGAAAGCAAAAAAAAACGATTACCCAGGCAGAATCCTGCTATACAGTACAGAAAGGCCCATTAGTGCAATTCAAAAAGTTCCAGAAATAACACACCATCAGCAACCAATTCTATGCTGTTAAGCAGACAATTTTTGCCTTAAGGTACAATTATATTCTCAAAACGTGGAATATAAACACTGTCAACTCTATATCGTACAAAATAGTTTTTATTTTAAAAAAATGTAAAATCGCTCAAAAAAACTTCTCAAACTAAATGATATTCATTCTGTGAGGATATTGTCAAACAATGCGGAACACATTACGCCAACAACAAATTATTACAGATTGAACTGCACAGTACATATTGCAGAAAAAAATATAAATGGGAGTGAATTTATGCACACAACACCATGACATGGCTGCAGTGTTATAACTTAAAATAATGATAATAGTGATAACAGCAACAAAAGAACACAATAATAATAATAATGTGGCTTATTCCACAGTAATAACAACACAAAATATAATAAAAACTATGGCTTATTTCACAATAATACCGCAACAAAAGAATATAACAATAATTATTCTCAGTATCAATTGGGTCACAGACAGCAATACACCGGCACTGTAGTGACTTGAGTCCTCAATTGAACGAACGTCCTTTCTCAATCGTGTCAACTAACCTGCTTAAGATCGCAAAACCAAGATGTGTACACTCACCAGCCTGGGCCTGTTTTGATGCGGTTCTCTCAGGCGACCCTCTGGCACAGAAAGAAACAAGAGGTATGGGTTGAAATAAACTATTAATACATTTTTTTTTAACACACAGAATTGTTTTGGTCTGGAATGCACTGCCTGGAAGGGTCGGTGGAAACAGATTCAATAACAACTTTCAAAAAGGAATGGGGCTAAGGGGGTGGGGAGTGGGACTGATTGGGTAGCTCTTCCAAAGAGCTGGCACAGGTACAACGGGCCTCCTTCTGCGCTCTAATAGTCTATGATTCTAAGTGGTTTGATCCACGAAAGACCGAATAATTTTCTTTTATAAAACAAAACACAAAATACTGCAGAAGCTGGAAATCTGAAAACAAAAACAGAAGTCAGCTGGTCAGACGGCAAGACCCTCGTCGACCGTGCTTTCTTTTATATCTCGGTGAATCCCATGGCACAATTATTCCGTATTAATAACAACTTGCATTTATATAATGCCCCTCACGCAGGGCAGCGTCCCAGAGCACTTATATTAAGGGAAAGAATAATAATCCTTGAATTTGATGTAGTGCCTTATCACTCCTTCGAGAAGTGTAAAGCTCTTCACAGAATATACTGTAAAGTGAATTGACTGTATATTTTGTAGGCGAAACAATTGCACAGAGCATCCATTTGCACACAGCAGTGTCCCACAGAGAGTCATGGATTGAGTGACCAAATTATAATAATAATAATTATTATTTATATAAACAATAATATCCAGCAGTGAATAGAATGATTCATCCCATCAGGTTGGGAATGGTGTTCAGACCGGGGCAGGAAGCTTGAGGTGCATTCCAGTGATTGCAACTACCACCTGAACCAACAGATAACAACAACAACAACAAGATTCCATTTATAAAGCGCCTTTCACGTCAGGAGGACGTCCCAAGGCGCTGCACAGTTGGGTCATGACCCGAGCAGGGGGGAAATGGTCAGGGTGAGGGGAGGGAAGGGAGGGAGCGAGGAGGGGGGAAATGGTCAGGGTGAGGGGAGGGAAGGGAGGGAGCGAGGAGGGGGGAAATGGTCAGGGTGAGGGGAGGGGGGAGGGAGGAGGGGGGAATGGTCAGGTGAGGTGAGGGAAGGGAGGGAGCGAGGAGGGGGGAAATGGTCAGGGTGAGGGGGGGGAAGGGAGGGAGCGAGGAGGGAGGAAATGGTCAGGGTGAGGGAGGAAGGGAGGGAGCGAGGAGGGGGAAGAGAGTCGAGAGGGGAGCTGAAGGCTCGGTCAAAGAGAAAGGTTTTGAGACCGGCCTTGAAGGAGGAAAGGGAGGAGGCGGCGAAGGCACTGGGGGATGGAGTTCCAGAGCCTCGGGGCTGAGAGGCTGAAGGCCCGACCACCGATGGTAGGGCGGTTGGGGCGGGGGATGTGGAGCAGACCGGAGCCAGAGGAACGGAGGGTACGGGCAGGTAGGTAGGGGGATAGTAGGTTGGAGAGGTAGGAGGGAGCGAGGCCGTGAATGGCCTTGTAGGTGAGGATGAGGATCTTGAAATCAATCCTCTGGGGGATGGGGAGCCAGTGGAGGCGAGCGAGGGTGGGAGTGATGTGGTCGCGGTGTCTGGTGCGGGACAGTACACGAGCTGCAGAGTTCTGAATGACCTGCAGTGTGGAGGGAGGTGGCGGGAAGGCCGACGAGGAGAGAGTTCCCATAGTCCAGCCTTGAGGTGACAAAGGCGTGAACCAGGGTTTCAGCAGCGTGAGGGGTGAGGTAGTGCCGTAGTCTGGCGATGTTCCGGAGGTGATGGAAGGCGGTGCCAGTTGTGGCGCGGATATGGGGGAGAAAGGACAGCTCAGGGTCGAACAGAACCCCGAGGTTCCTGACTGGCTTTGAGAGGTGGAGAGTGCAGCCTTGGATGCTGATGGTGTCAGCGCCTGAGGTGCGGAGGCGCTGACGTGAGCCAATCAGGAGGGCCTCGGTTTTTCGCACGTTGAGCTGAAGAAAGTTGTCTCTCGTCCAGGACTCGATGTCGGACAGGCAGCTGTCAGGACATCGGGGGTCGTGGAGTTGAGAGTAGAGGAGGAAAGGTAGAGTTGGGTGTCATCCGCATACATGTGGAAGTTAACTCCATGTCTGCGGATGATGTCACCACAAGGGGAGCATATAGAGGGTGAAGAGGAGGGGACCGAGGACAGAGCCCTGAGGGACACCACATGAGACAGTGCGGGGTTGGAGGAGAAGCCATTCGTCGAGACAAAGTGAAGACGGTGAGAAAGGTACGACCTAAACCACTCAAGGACAGTGCCTTGAAGGTTGAGGTGGGAGGACAAGCGGTGGAGGAGGATAGCGTGGTCGACCGTATCGAATGCTGCCGATAGGTCGAGGAGGACGAGGAGACAGAGGGAGCCCTGGTCACAGATGGTCAGGATATCATTGGTGACCTTGACCAGGGCAGTTTCTGTGCTATGGGCAGCACGGAAACCTGACTGAAGGGGTTCGAAAAGTGAATGGGTGGAAAGGAAAGAGCGCAGTTGGGAGGCGACAACTCTTTCCAAGACCTTGGAGAGAAAGGGGAGGTTGGAGATGGGCCGGTAGCTTGATAAAGATTACAGCTAATAAAGGTGGAGTTTGGGACAGGCAAAGCTTAACTTTGCTTTTTCTCAAGATTTTCTACCATCCGAGTTTGAGGGTTGGGGAGGTGAAGGAATAATTAGCTATACCCTACCCCGCCACTCCACACATATACAATAATAAACATTTATTACTTTAAATTTATTGTTTTATTATTAATAAAGTGTGTATTTATTTATCAACAAACACACACCACACATACAAATAAACAACACAATTACATGTGTATAGCGCTTTTCACGTCGGGAGGATGTCCCAAGAAGCTGCACAGTCAGTGTTTTCGACCTGAACTGGGGGTCGGGATGGGGGGGGAAAAGCAGGGTGATTGAAAACACGGTCAAAGAGGGTCTTGAGATGGGTCTTGAAGGATGCAAGGGAGGGTCGAGGGACTGGAGTTCCAGAGGGTGGGGGCAGACTGGCAGAAGGTCTGTTCACCATTGGTGGGGCGGGCGAGGCAGGGACGTGAAGCAGGCTGGAGCCCGCTGAGCGGAGGGAGAGGGCAGGATGGTAGAGGGTTAGGAGGTCACAGAGGGAGGGGGGAGCAAGGCCATGGAGGGCTTTGAACGTGAGGACCAGGCTCTTGAATTGTATCCTCTGTGTGATGGGAATCCAGTGGAGTTGGGCGAGGATGGAGGTGATGGAGTCATGGACCTGGTGTGGGAGGGGACTGTTCTGGATGAGCTGCAGCCTGTGGAGGGAGGAGTTTGGGAGGCCGACAAGCAAGGAGTTTGCACAGTCGAGCCTCGATGTAATGAGGGTTTCGGTGGTCTGCGGTGTGAGACAGTGGCGGAGACGGGCGATGTTGCGGAGGTGGGGAAGGCAGAGAGGGTCGTGGCGCAGATGTGGGGTAGAAAGGAGAGTTGAGGGTCAAAGAAGAGCCCAAGGATCCGGACTGACTTAGTGCGGTGGAGGGTGCAACCAATGGACGGTGATGCTGTCAGCGCCTGAACAATAAACACACGCAAACACACACATGTACACATAAACACACACATACACACACAGACACACATAAACACACACATACAAACACACATATACACACACACATACTCCCACACACACATACAAACACACACATACAAACACACACACACACACATATTCCCCCCCACACACACACACACAGGCGCACCACAGCCTCCTCTGTGGGAGTCCCTTTAAGGGCAGCGCCTGTGGAACTTTCCCGAGGCTGACGCCGAGTTGTGGGGATGATTCGGAGCCGCTTTCCTCACCCTCTCTCTCCCGGTGCAGCCACAGCCGGTTCAGCCGCCCCAACTGCTTCTCCGCATTGCGAGCCATCGCTGCCCGCCTCAGCCACCGCCACAGCGCGGTCCTCCCACCGGTCCTCCGCCTTCCCAGCATCCTCCCTGCGGCAGGTCAGCCACCGCCACAGCGCGGTCCTCCCACCGGTCCTCCGCCTTCCCAGCATCCTCCCTGCGGCAGGTCAGCCACCGCCACAGCGCGGTCCTCCCACCGGTCCTCCGGCTTCCCAGCATCCCCCCCTGCGGCAGGTCGGCCAGCCACTCGTCACGTGACGCGGGCTCGTTGCCGTCTCGGGTCACGTGCGGGAGCACGTGTGTGAGTGGCCACGTGCTCCCTCCCTCCCTCCCCTCCCTGTAAATCCATAATAATGATCAATATAATAATAATAATAATCAATAATCCTCGTGTTTGACGCGGCGCATTATGACATCGCGGAGACGTCTCAAGGCCCTTCGCAGGACACACTGCGAGATTCACTGACAATTAATTCATTAATAGTAATTGTTGTGGGCGAAACCCAAAATCGCCAATTGCCCCACAAACAGCCGTGAGCCGAGGGACCAAATCATTATTGTTTTTTATTTTTTTTGAAGGGATTATTACCCCCGGAAAAGCGATCCTGTCAGAACATCGAAGACTTGGCATTAAATTTGACGGTGACGTCCCAAAGCGCTTCACAGAACACACTGTAAAGTGAATTGACTGTATATTTGTGGGCGAACGCGGCAGCCAATTGCGCACAGCAATGTCCCACAAACAGTCGTAGATTGAAAATGACCAATTTATTATTGTTTTTGGTTTTGGAGGATTATTATTAGGCTCTGTGTGGAGTAAGGAAACTTGCCCAAGGTTTCGCCCTCTGCCTGGAATTGAACTCAGGTCTCTCACTTGCAAAGCGAGTGCTCTAACCACTGAGCTACAGGACTCCACGTCCACGATAGTCATCTCGCTGGACATGTATAGGTTGGACGTGTGGAACCGCGTTCAGTTTGGGTACTCTTTTAAGCGTAGCAACAGATTTCCGCATGTGTCAGATTCCGTCAGGTCGTGGATGGTGCCTTATATTGGAGTTCTGCTGCAATTCCTGTCAGGGCACATCCTATTTTGTGTATGTCTCTCAGTACCTACACGTTTAAGATTTCAAAATACAATTGTTCTTAAAGTGAGAGGAAAAAAAATTATGTAATTTCTATGCACATATGTGCTGTGGAAGTGCAACACATGAACATCAAGGTCACCATTCATGAAATATTATTGCACAGTAGGAGCCCACAAAATAATCTGCAATAATCCATCATGGAAGAAGGCAAAAGCCACCACAAATACAGCAAACCCACAGCAATTTCACAACAGATTTCTTAATTAAGGAATAAAGGAGCCTCTGACAGTGACAGGTAGGAATGCTCGTACTCAATGTGTTTTTGAAGTGGGGTTCCTTTGAGTTGGAATGACGTGCGTCAAAATATTTACAGCTTTTAACCAGTGGAGTCATCAGGAAAGCATGATGGCCAATAATTTTTTGTGGTCAGCATTGCTTATATGCTTTGAATTTTCAATCCTAACAAGGATAGCTGGTCGCACGCACAATTCCATCAAATCCCACTATCATAGGAACATAGGAACAGGAGTTGGCCATTCACCCCCTTGAGCCTTTTCCGCCATTCTATTAGACCATGGTTGATCTCCAATTACCGCTATCTGGTCAACATCATTTTCTTCCTCAGCAGGACCACTATTTGGCGGTGCCCGTCACTATCCCCGCTCTCTGATACCTGAAGTGGGGTCTTCCTCACATTGTTGGTCACGTGGAACTTGGCCTTTTGGCCTCCCGCCCAGTTGGCCAGCCTGTGGGCTGCCCCCACGTTGCCTGACCTGCAGGCGCAGTGCAAGGGCGTGTCCTTGGCATTGTCCAAGGCGTCGATGGCCCCTCCACTCATCAACAGCAACTCCACCAGGTCCTCAGAACCGTGCTCCGCCGCCAAATGCAGTGCCGTCCTCCTCCAAACGTTCTTATCGTTTACGTTGTGGTTCCTGCCGGCCAACAAAAAGGCCTTGACCACACTGGTATGGCCTTTGCTGGCCGCGTAAAGCATAGGCGTGTTGCCGTCCATGTCCTTGGCACCAAACTTGCCCTTTCTGATCAACATGAGGGACACGAAGTCCAAGTGTCCCTCGCTAGCAGCCAAGTGAAGCGGCGTCTTCTTTTCCTTGTCCAGTGGGTTGGCATCTGCATGGTTGGACAGAAGAAGGTCAGCCATGGGAGTATCGCCCACCAGAGCGGCCAAGTGCAGGGGTCTCCTGGCATCTCTGTCCTTGGCGTTAATGTCAGCCTTGTTGGCGATCAGTCGCTCGGCTGCCTGGCGGCTGCCCCAGCGTGAGGCCACATGCAACGGTGTCGCTCCTAAGACGGCTGCTGAGTTGGGCTTCGACCCTGCCCCGATCAAGACGTCCACCATTTTGTACCGGTCGTGACGGGCCGCCAGGTGCAGAGGTGTCTGCTCCCCAGCCCCAGTGATGTTGGGGTCCATCCCCTTCTCCAGCAGCAGATGGACGAGGGAGGGGGAGTCGGACATTACTGCCAGGTGCAAGGCGCTGCTCAAATCTGGTGCCCGGTCTCTCAGCTGCGCCCCTTTCTCTAGCAGGACCGTGGCGCACTCCGCCATGCCCCGTTCTGCCGCCATCAGCAGCGGCGTGCGGCCCGACCCGTCCCGAGAGTTGACGTCTGCGCCCATCTCTGCCAGGGCGGCCACCACCTTGGGCAGGTCCCTCTCCACCGCCCGGAAGATGGTGGCAGGGCCGACCTCGCGGGCTTGCGTCAACATCAGCGCGATCAGCGCCTGATCCCCGGTGGAGAAGGCCGCGTCGATGAGACCCGCGCCGTCCACCACCTGTGCGCCGGCCTCCAGCAGCACCTTGGCCGTATTAATGTGCCCCCGGGAAACTGCGTAGAACAACGGCGTCTGGTGCCGCCGCCCGTCTTTGGCGTCCACCGGTGCCCCGTGCCGGAGCAGGGTCCTGGCGAAGCCGCTCTCATCCCTCTGGGCTGCCATGTGCAGGAAGGAACTCTTGCAGTCGGCCCTCTTCCCCTCTTCCCTCAGCATCAGTTTCACCACTGCCGAGTGGCTCTGGTGGGGAGCGGCCAGGTGTAAGGGCGTTTGGGAGTCCGAGTCCATGGCGTAGATATGGGCCCCGGCCGCCAGTAGGGCTCTGATCGCCTCCGCCTGCCCCTCCTCGGCCGCCCGGTGCAGAGGCGACCTCCCCTTGCTGTCCCTCGCCTCCATCTTGGCCCCTTGGCTCAGTAGATAGCTCACCATCACGGCATGTCCGTGGGCTGCGGCCACGTGCAGCAGCGTCTCGTTGGACGCGTTGATCGCATTAACGTCCGCATCCTGCAAGGCTCGCTCCAGCCCGGGAAGGTCCCCCTGGGCTGCGGCGCGGTAGAGCTCCTCGGAGTCTCGCGGTTTAACCGGCTCCCGCGGCTTCGGTTTGACCGGCCGCGAGCTCGGGGCCACCTCCTCCTCCTCCTCCCGCTGCCGGCGGCTCCTGGGCACCTCGTCCTTGTCCCTCTCCAGGAGGTAACCCACCAACTGCCTCCTGGCGTCCCCAAAGCTGCCGGACACCTCGCTGACATAGCTCCTTATCTGGTTGTACAAAGCCGGCTCCACGCGCTTGAGGCAGGGGTAGAAGAAGAGCCGACAAGCCCTCTCCCCTCGAGACACCAGCATCTCCAGCAGCCTGGCATTCTTCTCCTCCCGCGTCCGGTAACTCGACACGGCCAACCTCTTGTCCGCAGAGACCAGACCGTTCTCAATCAGCCAGTCGAGCAGGTGGTCTGTGTTGGCTATCCCAGCCACCAGCTCGCTTTTCTTCCTCTGAAGCACCTCAATGGCATACGGGTTGGTAAAGATACCCGTCGGGTGCATTAGCACCATGGTGGTCTTGTGTCTGCAACACTCACTGCCACAGAAGCTTAGGACTGCAGTTAGCACCGGTAGCCTTTGGCTATCTGGTCATTGTCAAACCCAATTGTAGCAACAGTATGCAGTGACCTTCACTGGATTGTCCATCGATAGTCCTGTAGTGTAATGATTAGAGCACTCACCTCGCAAGCGAGAGGACCCGGGTTTGATTCCCAGGTGGGGCGAAATATTAGTATTGTCTTTGAATCAAAAGTTTCCTCACTCCACACGCCTCTGTTTACCCAGCAGTAAGTCGGAACCCAGTTGCGAATCGATTTCCGTGGTAATAATCCCTTTTAAAAAAACATAATAATTTGGTCACGCAATTGACTGCAGCGTTTCGTCCACAAAGTATACAGTATATATTGTGAAGCGCTTTGAGACATCTCAACAAAGGCGCTGTATCAAATGCAAGGATTATTATTACTATTATTGTTGTTGGTAGAATAAATGGAGCATTTCAGCACCAGACATACCTTCTATCATGGGGGTTCCTGGAGGCTATAGAGGCACAGCGGAGCCCCAAATCCTCTACACAAGGAGCTCCGATCGTCCCAGGATGTTCTTGGCTTCTTCACACACCATAGCAACCGGGTCAATCGTTTTATCTCGCAGCGAACGATCAGAAATCTCTGGCAAACATGTCACGCTCGGCTTGTATGTTGCAGTAACATGAGAAGCTGAAATGTGAAAAGGCCTTGTTCTCTCCTCTCCTGCCCTCCCCCACCCCCGGTATTTTGTGTACGCTGTGAACTAGTCTATTGTATAAAATCCGTCAGAGGTGACTTAGCTACTGTTGCCTGGAGGCCAGTATTGTCTTTCAATCAGAAGATGTCCAGGCCAAACAACAGCACTCAGGTGCAGCCGGGGGAAAGCCTTTTGTGTGTGTGTGCTTGTGTGTGTATGTGTCTGCATGTAACTATAAAACCAAAGTAAATCACTCACCTGTGCACACGAGTGAAAAGGAAATTTGAGGGGAACAGGAGTCCGGTGTGGAGTATAAACACTGGTGTGAGCTGGTTGGGCTGAATGGCCTGTTTCCGTGCAATGTTATTTATGTTAATCTGTGTGTACCTCTTCCACACTTTTCCTTTCTCAGGGTTTTGACTTGTGCTGAAGGAAACATAGTGCCCGGGAAATAGTAATGAGCAGAATATTGTGAAACGTACAAGTAGTCAATTATTAAGAAACTCCTCAAACCGTTTTATCAGCAACTTGAAATCAAATAAATCAAATCAAATAAAATTGGGTACTCACTCCATGGCGTTTTGTGGGACACTCTTGTGCTCATTTGGCTGCCATGTTTTGCCCGCAAAATATATAGTCAATTTACTTTACCGTGTACTCTGTGAAGCGCTTTGAGATGTCTCAACGACGTAACAAGGCACTATATCAAATGCAAGGATTGTTATTATTATCAATGGTAACAGACGCACAAGGTTGTTTGGGATTGGAAACTTATGCTGCCGCACTGACAAAGATGGATTCCCTGCTGAGGGATAAACAGAGTCTTACAGACACGGAAAGTCCTAGGTTTAATGCTGATCTCAGCTGATGGTAGAGGGATAGCAGTTGAGTGGCTACCAGTGGCCTCGGGTTCCGTAGACTAGGTTGGAGAAACATCAGCCCTAGACAGGGCTCTGTATCTACCTCACCTTGCAGTGACCCTCCCACACTTGCTGGAAAGCGCAAACGTTGAGTCAGAACAAGACTGGGCTCAGCCTCACAACCAAACCACCTGCCGACACTCCCTCTGTCTGGGTTCATGAACGCTAACCAATTACTGGCACCTCAGGCAACGTACTGCAAGCAAGAGGCGGGAGGGAGAACGTGGGGCAGCAGAGAAGCAAAATGACCTCTGGAGGTGGGCCAGGAAGTCCCGCAGTGAGCAGATACAAAGTCAGGGATGATTCACAATTACTAGACCTGGTCTTTGGTGCTATGTAGAACTGTGGGGAGATTCATGTCAAAGAAAGTCTATGGGGACGGAAATTCCCCAAGGGGGCGGTGATGGATTTCCCAATTACTCTAGCTGTTCCAGCACAGTCTGCTTGTGCCCAGTAACCACTCTTTGACTAATACAACAACAACAAAATGACATCTGTACAGCGCCTTTCACGACAGGAGGACGTCCCAAGGCACTGGACAATCAGTATTTCGGACCCGAGCTGGGGGTTGGGATCGAGAAGGGTGGAGGGCAGGGGTGGAAGGAGGGTGACCAAAGGTACGGTTGAAGAGGGGTGTCTTGAGACGGGCGTTAAAGGAAGCAAGGGAGGAGGGTGTGAGGCGGAGGGACTGTCGTCATCTGGGACCGGGTTGCGCAGGGCAGAGGGTTAGCGTGAAGTCCCATAGTGTATGCAATCAAGAAGACCTGGGTTCAATTCCTGGGCAGGGCGAAACCTTAGGCAAGTTTGCTAACCCCACATACCCCTGTTTACCCAGCAGTAAGCAGGAACCCAGTTGTTAGTCGATTTGAGAATCGCTTTCCAAGGATAATAATCTCTCAAAAATAATAATTTAGTCACTCAATCCACGGTTGTTTGTGGAACACTGCTGTCCACAATTGGCTGCCGCGTTTCGAATAGACAATATACGTTCAATTCACTTTACAGTATATGCCGTGAAGCGCTTTGAGACGTCTCAACGATGTGATAAGGCGCTGTATCAAGTGCAAGGATTATTATTAGTATGAAAATGTGAGATCAGAAAATGTTTCTTTGCGCAGTGGGCAACACAAATGCAATACAAATTTACTCATTTCATGTCGAGAGGTCAACCCCAGGACTGAAGAATAATGTCCTGGCCACTGAGCTGGGGGTGGGAGCCGAGGAAGGCTGTGGAGGGGGGGAAAGATTCCCAAAACATAAGAACATAAGAAATGCTAGACGAAAAAAGACCAAGGTCCATCCAGTTCGCCTTCCACCTCCCTGCCAGTCGCATGCACATATGTCCCAAACTCCCTATGTATTATATCCCACAATAGTATTTCCTAAAAGAAAACTCGCTAATCTGCGTTTGAAAGAATCAACATTTCTTGCTTCAACCGTCTCCCTGGGGAGCCTGTTCCACAGGTTCACTACTCGCTACTGAAATAGTGTTTGCGTAGATTCGTTCTGAGTTTACTCGCCCTCAATCGCAGGCCGTGTCCTCTCGTTTTATTCTGGACAAGCAGCGTGTTGTGATCTATATTGTCCAGCCCCTGAAAGTGAGGTCAAAGAGGCAGGTCTTGAAAAATATGGATGTATGCACTTCCCCAGAAGGCCATAGATGCGGAATCAATTGGGAGGTTCAAAGAGACAACGGGTACTTTGCAAAGTAAGGGCCGTGGAGAGAAAGGCAGGATTTTTTTCCCCTCCAATGGAGCAGCTAACACCAGATTTGGCCCTATGGGATGACATGACATTCACCTAATGCTGTAATGCTACAGTCCTGCAATTTCCTGGGGTGAATATGGACCTGAAGTTGTCAGTTTGATCACTAGGGGGAGCAGTGTTTCACAAATAGGACTGATGTCCCTGTAAAAATAGGATACAGTGCTTGAGTGACCAACCATACAATTGAACCAATGCTGAGATATAATTAGACATTGACAGATGGTATAGCGATCACAGAGCAATAGACAGCCATGTAGATTTCATTAATGGCAGTGACCATCAATTTGATCATTCCCTTATAATAAAAAGATAAGTTTTACCCAATAAAGCCAGACAGACAGACCACTTTATCAGCAAAAAACTGCGACAAGGGCGTCTGAATAATTTTATAAATTGTGGTAACAGTTTAACATGGGCGGCCGGTTGAATGCAAATAGTTTCTGTGGAACTTCGGAAGAAGTCAGGACAGGAATCAAAATCGACGCATTTATAAATAATAGTGCTTTCGGTGTACAGTAAATTCATAACTCGACCCTGGCTTAACTTGTCACTTAGGTCATTGCGCTGTCAATATGCCGTCTGCATTTATTTATGTGTTCATACATTTGCCTAACTCACCACTCCTGATAACTCGTCACTTTGTCCTTGGATGAGTCAGAACGGGGTCTCAAAGAGCTTCACGGGATTTACTGTAAAGTGTAGTGACTGGATTTTGTAGGCAAATGCAGCGGTCAATTTTGCACACAGCTAAGAAGTGAATGACCCGACTTTTAGTGACCAGGACACCGGGAGACAGAATCTCCCTCCTCTTTTCCAATAGTGCCAAGGGATCTTTAACATCCACCCGAACAGGTAGATGGGATCTCGGTTAATATCTGACAGACGGCAGCTCCAACAATGGCAGCCCACCCGACTGCTCCCAGTACTCAATTGGAGCATCAGCCTGGACTAGAGCCCCCCAATGTGGGGCTTGAACCCACAATCTTCTGACTCAGAGGCGAGATTGTTATCAACTGAGCCCGGCTGACACGATTATGGGTGGGGGAGGGGGGTTGAGGAGACCAATGAACCAAAGAGTCTTCACCCAAACCTCTCTTGCGATCAACTCATGGTAGCCATCATAGCCATGTGGAGTCCTGTAGCTCAGTGATTAGAGCACTCGCCTCGCAAGCGAGAGACCCGAGTTCGATTCCCGGGCAGGGTGAAAAGTTGGGCAAGTTTCCTTACTCCACACTCCTCTGTTTACCCAACAGTAAGTAGGAACCCTGTTGTTAGTCGTTTGACGGATCGCATTTCTGGGGGCAATAAACCCTTCAAAAAATGATAATAATAATTGGTCAATCAATCCACGACTGTTATCAAAGCCAGCCATGTCTTTCTAACACCCAAAAACCTTCGCGAGACCCGGTCTAGATGTAGCATTAACTCTTTAAGAACACTCTTCCCCTCCACACACACCATAAAAAAAAATGATGATAGATCTGTGGAACGTTTTTAAGACAAAACGATAAGATCCATTTGTGATCAGCAAGTATTTGATGAAAGGGACGAGGAACTTTACAAAGAAGATAAGCACATTTTGAAAAGAACGAAACGGGG